TTATTTTTAATTTTTTTTTTATTTATTTTAATTTTATTTAATTTTTTTTTTTTTAATTTTTTAATTATTTTTTTATTTTATTTTATATATTTTTTTTATTAATTATTTTTATTTTTTATTTTTATTTTTTTTTTTTTATTTTTTTTATTTTTCTTATTTATTTTAATTTTATTTTTTTTTTTTATTATTTTTATTTTTTTTTTTTTTATATTTTATTAATTTTTTTATTTATTTAAATATTTAAATTATTTTTTATTATTTTTTTTTTTTTAATTATTTATTTTTTTTTTTTTTATTTTTTTTTTATTATTTTTTTTAATTTAAATTAAATTTAATTATCAATATCGGGCGCATCACGTAGTCTGGCCAGAATCACATTTTATAACAACAACCATCAACAAATCACTTAACTCAACACATAACTACAGGGGTTCAGGGATAACGTATATAAAGATTTTTTATAAATCGTGAGTATATAAAAAAACCGCGGGGGCATCACGTAATCTGGCCAAAATCACATTTTATAACAACCATCAACAATAACTTCAACTCAACACATAACTAACTACAGGGGGTACAGGATAACTTATATAAAGATTTTTTATAAATCGCGAGTATATCAAAAAACCGTGGCACATCACGTAGTCCTGCCCAGAATCACATTTTATAACAACCATCAACAATCACTTCAACTCAACACATTACTAACTACAGGGGGTACAGGCATAACTTACATATTTTTTTTTATAAATCGCGAGTATATCAAAAAACTGCGGGCGCATCACGTAGTCTGGCCAGAATCACATTTTATAACAACAACCATCAACAATAACTTAAACTCAACACATTTCTTACTACAGGGATAACTTACATAATTTTTTTTTTATAAATCGCGAGTATACAAAAAAACAAAAAAAAACGCGGACGGATCACGTTGCCTGGCCAGAACCACATTTTATAACAACAACCCTCAACAATCACTTCAACTCAACACATTACTAACTACAGGGGGTACAGGGATAACTTACATAAAGATTTTTTATAAATCGCGAGTATATCAAAAAACCATGGGCGGATCACGTAGCCTGGCCAGAATCACATTTTATTACAACAACCATCAACAATAACTTCAACTCAAAACATAACTACAGGGGTTCAGGGATAACGTATATACAGATTTTTTTTGTAAATCGTGAGTATATCAATAAAACGCGGGCGCATCACATAGTTTGGCTAAAATCACATTTAATAACAACAACCATCAACACTAACTTCAACTCAACACAATACTAACTACAGGAATAACATATATAAAGACTTTTTTATAAATCGCGAGTATAAAATTACCAAAAAACCGGGCGCATCACGTAGTCTGGCCAAAATCACATTTTACAACAACCATCAACAATAATTCGACACAAAACCAACTACAATGGGTACAGGAATAACTTACATAAAGATTTTTTTTATAAATCGCGAGTATATCAAAAAACCGTGGGCACATCACGTAGTCTGGCCAAATCACATTTTATAACAACCATCAACAATCACTTCAACTCAACTCATAACTAACTACAGGAATAACATACATATTTAAAGATATTTTATAAATCGCGAGTACATGAAAAAAATAGCATACATAAAGAACAATATAAACGATCAAATACAAAAGTTGTAAAATATTATCACACTTACTCTATTAACAAAGAACGTCTTCTCGGCGCGAGTTTCCCACCAAAAATGAACTGTTAGCTCAAATGATCACGTGGTCTGTAATCTGTGAAGCGGGAAAATTCGGCATTTTCCGCCGTGCTTCTCATCTCTGACCTTTTCAGTATTGAAATATTGTTGGCCAATATTGGCCTGAGACATTTGAATATTCAATGACCTTTTATCGGCAATCATCGGAATCCGGCATTCAAATAATTATGATCGAGAATGGGAAATCTTAATTTATAAGTACATAGGGGTGGCAGGATAAAGCCATATACGAAAACGCACGAACAGGAATAACATATGACCTGTTTGAGTAGTGGTTAAGGTCCTTGTTTCGCATGCGGAAGGTCGTGAGCTAAAATCCCACAATGGGTGAAACTTTTATTAGCCCTTTGAATTAAATCATTCTATTTTTGTTTTACTTTTTAATTTATTGATTTTTTTATATTTTTTTTGAATTATTAATAATCATTATTTTATATATTTTTCCATGTATTTCATATACGAGAATGATATAGCTTATAATGTATGGTGGCTGAGTTGGTACACTTTGCGCGTTGCGTTGTCGATAGCGACAACACAACCTTTATCGTTATCGTCTTTTCGTCTTGTCGCTAGCGGAACGCACCAAACGGCGCGTTGTCGCACTGTCGTCTTGTCGCTTGGCTTATAAGCCAATCCTTTGATTTGAGCGACATCGCGACAACACGCCGCACGGCAACGCGCCGTTTGGCGTGCTTCACTAGCGACAAGACGAAAGTAATTAATATATCTAGTAGATATAAGCCGAAAACTGTCCAATATTTTACTTATTGGTCAGTTTGAGGCTTATATCTTACTTAAATTACTTCTGTGACGTCATTTCTTTGTTCTGACCGTACTGTATTTTTAATACAGTACAGGTAGGTGTCCAATATTAACGTGTACAAGTCCAATATTAATTGTGTAACACATTAATATGAAAGAAGCTTCAATCACCACAGGATTTTGTGGAAAATCATCAAAATTAAAGAAAGAATAAAAGATTAAATAAAATGTAAGTTAACACGAGTAATGCAACGTTTTTCCTTTGCCCATTACGTATTTTACAGAATTTTACTAAAAGAACAATAATTGTTATCTGTCGATGATTTCTTTGCTCATTTCACGAATTCTATTTTCAAGCCTACTGGTTTTCGATCTCCAAGCTCTTAAAATTATATTACCGTTTACGCTTCCGTAGTGAGTCAGTTAAGATATGATTTTAATGGGATTGTTAATTCTTGCCTATTGTCCGTTTTTTCTTTTTACATGTATTTTAATTGATAATTATACTTGATTTGATTCATTGTATGTACGTACTGTTTCAGTAAGGTCAACTTTTCAAATAAGTGTAATGATCAGCTTTTCAGATAGATGAAATTATAGAGAAAATAAATTCATCTTTTTAAAACAAAAGCTGTTATATTTGATTACATATATGTTTGACTTATACCCCTGTGGTATGACAAATATCAATTCAAAAATAAGAAAATCTCATTTCGTTGCGTAAATATCCAAAATTAACCCTAATGGTCATTTTAACACAACATTTTACATCTGTGATAGCTGTAGTCATATGAAAAATAAAAATATCATTTTTAACACTTAATGGTCAGTAAAAATCCTTCCTAAAAGTAATAAAATAGAGAAAATAAGAATCCATAAAGTCATCTCAGTCAAGCATTCAAAATATCCAAAATTTAACACAAATTTAAAAACTTTTATTTTTACTATTTCTTGTAAAAATCTCCAATGTACAAATTTATGTAACTGTATGTGTGTAAATCCAACATTTTGTGTAACTGGTTTATTTTGTGTATATCACCGTGTTCATGTACATAATTGGTCTTATTTCAAAACACGAAATGTTCATGCTTCGGACATTTTGTTATTTTAGAGGCTCTCTATAGGGTTTTGCAGGTAAGAAAAAAATAATTACTAAAGCATAAAATTGTACATTTCTAGCACAAGAAACATAATGTCTAATTTTTCGATGGATAACATGATATTTGATAGTAAAAGTAGTAATTTAAAGTTATATATAACTATAATTATTGATAGTTAAATAACGATATCAACATACAATTAAGCAAGACGCACACAGCAGAAAGCATAATGTGCATGTAAGAAAGCAAGATGTAAAAGTCAGAATGCAAGATGTACAAGTCAGAATCTGGGACATACGATAAGTTATAGTATGTCCCAGTCAGAATGCAAGATGTACAAGTTAGAAAGCACGATGTAACGTAAGAAAGCAAGATGTAATTTTTGCGTTAATACCCTTCCATACACATGTATGCAGGACACTTAAACAAGTGGAACTCAACCTCAATTTCATTTGTGTTACAAATTAAACAATATCTTTAATTACGATGTTTGTCTGTATTCTAAGATAATGATCTGAAGTACGCAGTTTTCTCAAAGCTATTCTAAAATAGAGAGAAATAAAGAATCCATAGGAACTCGAGAACGGGACCGCAGATTGCGGCGTATATTTTCAATCGTGTAACGGTTTTTAAAAACGTTTCTGCTACATCTAAATATCTTTAAGTATTATCCGAGTGTATGGACTCAAAAAAATTATTATCAATTGAACCCAATCTGTCTCTTTTAAAACTGGTCAAATTTTACGGTATTATAAAAAAGACATTCTATATACCGTAAATTTGACTGATTTTTAAATTAGCGGATTATATTAAATTGAGATTAGATAATTAAAGACCACCCGCTCGCATAATATGAAAAGATATTCAAAGGTCGGACAAACTATATGTAAAGCCGGTAAGGATTCGGATTTATGCGCCGCAATATGCGGTCCTGTTCCAGAGTTCCTATGAAAGAATCTTGACTCTAAGGCTTCTTAATTGGTGCAATATTTTCTAAATAAGGTTGTCCATACAGAAACAATACATCGTTAGAATTTATACTAGTTCTCCATTTTTGTACATATCCATCTATGAAAACAATGAAATGATTTTATTTTGACCATACCTAAAAAACGTATTTTTCTAAAACACTTCGTACACTGTACATTAGCAAAACGGTTTGTATACCCTACTGTATGCTTGTATCAAGCATAGGCCTACATGAATAAACAATTGAATTTATAGCAATATTAAATGAAATTATTATCTTAAACCAAAATTTTACAATTCGAACATATCTGATAATATTTTGGGCAGTTTATGTTATATGGGTATTATTTTACCAATTTTATAATATTATTAGTGCCGGATATAATATTAATAATTAGCACAGTTACTGCCCTTTGATCAATATTTTCCATTTGTTCAATAGGTTTTTAGAATCTACGCACTCCAATTTTTCTGTGTTTTAACGATTTGGTGCGTACTTTTAGTAAAAACTAATGGAAAAAATGTAAATATATGGAAATTCAGGAATGATATGGAAGAAAGCAAAGGTCAGATATGTAAAATAATCGCCCAAATCGGTCCCTAAAATAATTGTTATGAAACAGTTAAAAAGACAGATTTTTTTGACATTTCTGCAGTGTTTCTGTACTGTACAGTACAGTTCAATACGACTAAATTTTAATTTAAGTATATTTTACTACTTTTAATTGTGAACCCAACAAAGTAAATACATAGAGTTTGGTGTTTCATTTTGGAAAAGTCAATATATGATTGCTAGGCAATTAATAATTCTATTTGACTAAATTTGAAGAAAATCAAACATTTATTAATAGCAATTCTTATGATGGCCACGAAAGTATTTATCTATGCAAGCAAACCAACCGTCAGCACAGATTTTAATTGACAATTAAAGTATGTACTCTCACAGTTAAACTTAACTGTTAGTTGAAATTGTGATATAATACTTTCATGGTCATTATACATGTATTGTAGGCCTACACGTTTTACTGTTTCTTGAAAAGTTTCTACTTCTGGCTGTTATCATTATTGATCTAAGATTATTAAGGCTGTTGAACATCTGTCCTAGTCTTGCAGTTGGAACTGAAATTTAATGTTACTGTTGTATGGTTCTCCCTCATTGTATGATTATACCTGTAAAGGATATAAATGCCTTGTTAATTTAAATAAGTAAGGTTCAACAATTTCTTGTGTAAACCATAGAAATATATGCATCAGAGTGCCAAAATACTGTGCTGAAAAACATAAATGGTCAATGGGCGAGATGCATGATAATGCAGCATGATTAACAACATTTACCTATAAAGAACATAAACAAATGCATTGATTATCTAAATAAATAAGAAACAACAATTCTGGTGTAAACTATAGAAATCAATTTTTCAAAGTGCACATGATGTGTGAGATAATTTGTCTGTGAAGTTTGAAAAAACTGAGGCTTGACATGCAAATTATGTTTAGATGAAATAGAAGTAATAAGTTGTTAGGATGAATAGGTGATGAGATGGGAATAATATAGGATGATGGCTTGTATATCAGACTGTAAAGAAATATAAAACACATAACGAGACACACAAGATATATACAATTACGAAAAACAAGATGATGCATGAAATGATATTCAAAATAAAACAAATATTGACCACATGACATTACAAACAGCTAGGGTCAAATAAAATATAAATGATTGCTATCACAGGTTAAACAAAATTTTCTGTACGACTGACGTCAGTCCACTAACAATGGTTTTTCTCACTAAATTGGGAAGAGGCCCTAGCCACTTGATTTTAGGAACAATTATCGCTAAAATTGCTAATTGGAAGTAAAAAAGCAGGTTTAAGTTCACATTTTTGGGAAAACTGCATGATTTTAAAGAAAATTTCATTTGGGAAGAGGCCTTTTATATGAGACTGTTATATAAGCAGGAAAATCACTGACTAAGTACACATTATCTTATCCTTTTTTAACCAAACCCGATATTTCAACAATTATTTTTTTCAGATCGGTATCCACTACATACAGCATGTAAAGTTGGAGATGTCAACTTGGTTAGAGAATTGATCCATCAAGGGCATATGGTGAATGATGGAAACTTTGACCTTGTTCACCCTCTACATGAAGCTTGTTTCCATGGCAATATAGAATGTGTACAGGAGCTTCTATCAGCAGGAGCAACAGTAAATAATTTCTTAACTACAATGAATCTTTTCAACATGTCAATATGTTATTCTACAAATTTGCAAAATATTTTTTTCTTTTTTTTTAGCATAATTTAAGAATGCAGTGACTGTGATTTTCGACATCTTTATAATATTTTGCTAGTTTGAGGAGGTTTAGAACATTCAAAATAACAACATTTAATTAATGGTTAAACTATGAACTGTTGACTCCCTCCCAACCAAGGGACCATGGGTTTGTGCTTGTCTTGGGTCACAACCATATGTCATCCGCACTGGTTAGTTCCTAGAAGCTGACTTGACAGTAGTTTAAACTTCAAAGCTAGAAACTTGCCTTAATATTGAGCAAAAATAAGTAAATGTCTTACACTAAACTGTTGTAAATTTTTGTTAACTTTAAATATAATGTTTGCATTTTGTTTTTACAAACAGGTAGACTGTAGGAACATTGATGGAAGTACTCCACTATGTGATGCTTGTTCCAGTGGTAACGTTGATTGTGTGAAGTTGTTGCTAAAAAGTGGAGCTAATGTCAACCCTAAACTTCTCCTGTCATCACCATTGCATGAAGCTGTTCTTAGAGGTATCTGTTCTCTAACATCAAATATCTGTCCTTAATTGCAGTTGGGCTTTAAGTCTCACCAATTTTTTAATAGATAAAACAGCAACTTTCCATTTAATCAAGAATGACACCCTGGAGCCTCCACATTTGTTTCTTTAGGCATAAGTGGTCATCTGCATAGAAAACATTCTAGCAGAATTGAAGCACATTCTGTTGAGTGACAATTGATTAAAAGTCGGAGAACTTAACTTTTTGGTATAGATGAAATGTCTTCTTTGAAGTTTTTCTCTTCTTTTTTTTCTGTTACATATTTTTTCTTGTCATCAACATAAGTAAAACTAGCTTACAATAAAACCTGTGATGGGAATTCATTGGAGAAGAGTAATCAACTCGGCTGTCATTCCCTCTTTTAGTTGCTGTGCCATACATGTATTAAAGATTATGAGTTTGAATCCTCCTAGGGACAGAGGAAGCTATCCAGTTGGTGGTTCTTCTCATTAGCCTGGCTGAAGTGATCTACTGAGGGACACCTAAGGTCTTCCTTTTCCTAGTAAAGCTGGAATGCCACTATATGATCGAAACAGGGTTGGTTTGATTTGAAACACAACCAATTATATACTAATACTTGTACAAGTAAAGTGTAATTACCTCTTATTAATTGTATCGTAAATACATGTACATATGAGCCGCGTCACGACAAAACCAACATAATGGGTTTGCGACCAGCATGGATCCAGACCAGCCTGCGCATCCGCGCAGTCTGATCAGGATCCATGCTGTTCGCTTACAGACCCTTTAACAAGTAGAAAAACTGATAGCGACAGCATGGATCCTGATCAGACTGCGCAGATGCGCATGCTGGTCTGGATCCATGCTGGTTGCAAACCCATTATGTTGGTTTTGTCATGACGCAGCTCATATATATTAAAGATAAAGTGGAGTGTGCCCAGTTGTTGGTGGATGCAGGAGCTAACCTCAATCAAACAGACTGTCATTTTGGTACACCTCTACATGCAGCTGTAACCAAGGGAAGCTTGAAGTGTCTTGTTTTACTCTTGAAGGCAGGTTAGACCACTGTTCATCTAACTTAACCTTTAGTCTGCTGTTAGCAACAGGTTTTACATGTGTGAGAAAACTTAAGACCAAAATTAGCCAACACATCGATGCCGTCTGATCATGGTCCGAATTGTTTGCTGTCAATACTCATTTTGAAAATTTTCAAAAATATGATAAATGGTTTTGTCCAGTTTAAGATATTTAGTGGGGTAAGGAATCAACATCATACATTGAGAGAGGGAGGAAATTAAAATTATAGTTGGAGTTTTAAAAAATGGTGTGTTAACCCTGTTAAAAAAGCTTTCTGTATGATTTATAATCAGAAGAGAATTTAGGATTTTAGAATTTCAAGTTCATGATTTCATTGAGGAATCAAGGATAATTTGATATGTTTTCACAATTTCAATGTCAATTAAATGAACCATTAAACCTCTTTAACTGTTTGTTAAAAAGTTAGATTTTTCTAATATGTAAACTTTGAAATACTTTACATTATCAAAAGTTAAATTATTTCTTTAGTTGTTATCTTCTGTTTATATAGAGGAAAACTTCTTTTATAATATTTCAATTAATTTAAAAAAACATACACAACTCATTTATTCATTTTCAGGTTGTAATGTGAACTGTATAAAAATATTGAACACCCCTCTTCACCTGGCAGCGAGACAACAGGACATAGATGCTGTATCCGTGTTGCTACAGTTTGGTGCTAACACCAACATGACAAATAATTATGATCTGACGGCTAAAGATATGGTTCCTAGCTCAACGTCCTCTATACGACAGATCCTACAGCAGTGGGAATGTAGGTTTATACTTTTTCAATCTACGTCATGTACATTTTCATACTATTCTTCTGTGTACATGACTTACATGGTCAAGTGGTTATAGTTACTGTATCTGAAGTTAAAACCTGGCTTAGAAGTTGTGTTCAATACAAATCATTTGAGGAAGCTATCAAGATAGCTTGAAAGAGACTCTTTGATTGAGTTTCATTTGAAGAAGCTATCAAGATAGCTTGTAAGGGACTTTTTGACAGAGTTTCATTTGAGGAAGCTTAAATGATGCCTGAAATAAAGAACTTAGAAGGACCCCAAATCTTCCTGCACCATTTAAGCTGGAAAGGCACCATTTGACCTTAGCAGTGTCAGATCAGGAGTGAAATTCTTTTTTGCATTCAGTAGAAAACACTATTTGTCAAAGACGCTATATATGACAAACAAACTCAAAATTAAAAAAAAATTGCAAAATACTGTGAAAAAAAAAGAAAGAATGATGTTTTTTTTTCATTAATCCAAAAGCTACCCTATTATACACAATGATTGGTAATGCATTTTTCAACAGTGATTTGTTAAGTTGTTAAAAGTACATGTACCTGTAACATTATGACTTCAGCTTATTTGCAAGCTAATAATATTTTTGAACTAGTCTTAAGATACTAACCATTGTTGATGTAATTAGAGGAAAAGTGGTAGGGTTCCAAAATTCCTTCTTATGAAAATTCCTTACTTACTTGGCCAGTGCTCCCTGTCAGTTGTTCAGTTGGTTATTCACTTGTTACAGACATGAATTCAAATAAGCTTTTGAGATAGAAAGAATTTCATATGAACAAATCTTGGTCATGTTGAAGACAAGCATAAAAGGAACTATATTACTGTAGTAAGTATATGAAAAGTTGATAAATAGCAAATATCAGTACTTTGCTACAATCCTATCTATTTTAATTGTAAATGTATTACAGGTAACCCAAGAAGTATGAAGTTTCTGTGTAGACAAGTTATTCGTCAGTGTCTCGGACAAAATGGTTTGCGTCAAGTACACAAGCTAAATTTACCAAACCTTCTCACGGATTTCTTGTTGTATGAATATATCCATTGATAGTACATAATTATACCCTTTTGTTATGTTTGTTGTTGTTAAATAAAATGTATAAATTAAAAGGTTGTTGATTATTAGTCATGACTATCTGTAGACAGTATATGACTTTTCTAAAGTCTTTGTTTATGTATTTATTAATGGTAGCAGTGATCTAGTAAAAGGGCAAGCTATTTAAAACTGAGCCCTTGTTGTGGAAACTGCTAATTTCTTTGAGCAAGAAATTTTACCAAACAATGCTTCATACAGATGTGAAAGGGTACCCCGAGAGGGCAATAAAATTCCCTAGCAGACTGCTATAATCAGATTGAATGACTTCCAAAGTTGATCAATAGATGACCAGCTGTAAAGTCAATGGACATGCTGATGGCATTAAACTGCGTTAGTCAGTGGGATAATTTATTACCCCCACCCCCTACCTGGGAAATAAAGGGATATTGTTTTAGCACTAATTGCATTTATGTCCATCTGGAATCTCATTTTGGAAACAGTTTAAAGTATGTTGTTAAAACAAGTGTAGATAGTTATAAGGAAACAAGACCTTGTGTTTTAAGTTTTCATCAATGTTTTTGGGAAGCACTATAGTGATTGAAGAAATGAGTATGTGTGTTGTTATAGGCAGATTACTTGATAAACCTTAACAATCTTGCTAACTGAAACAATGCTTGAAATTTATCTTCTAAAACTTTCAGAATCGTAAATAAAACATATGGAAGCTGTACAGGTTCATTTGAGGAATTTAGCTTAATTTTCTATGTAAGAGTTTATGCTGCAAGCTCTAGTACCATACCTTGTGGCTGAGGGGTTGCCTCTAAGGGTTGAGGCCTTTGAATTGCAGCCACCATTTATCCCTTCCTAATTGTAACAGGCGACTAAATGAGTTCAATTTACTGGAGTCTATGCACATCTCTTAGTTCCAGCTGTTAAGGTGGTTTTGATCCCGAGGTTAGCCAAAATTATCTTTCCTTTTTCGGAGCTATATGACCCAAATTGTGTTGGTACACCGTAAAACCAATAAAACAAACAATAAATCAGTGACAAGAAATTTCTGAGTAGCTTTTTGTCCGTCCTTTCATGTCTAAAAAGCATACAATAAAAAAGAAACAAGCTTTAAGTTCTTACAAGTTTTTATTTGTATAAGAACATGCATACACAATCATTAAATTAAAGCTAACAAAAATTGAAGTACAAAATGAAATATGAAAGTAAGTGAAAAACAATTCATATTTATGATACAAGTTTGCAAAAGAGAATGAGTGGGAAACATTATTAATTTAATAATGTATTTCTTAACCCTTTCCCCCATGAGCATATTGTGAAAAATGGCCGTTTTCACTGAAAAGCCTCCTGTTACAAGTTCAAACTGTTATGAAACTATGAAAAATGCTTCAATACTAATCAAACTTGGCACAAATGTTGACTGGACCATTGCCTTTGTAACTACATGCTCAGTCTTTAATTTCCTGTTACCATGGCAACAAGGGGACATCTCAAAATTGCCAAAAATCACTATTTTGCCTCGATTTTTTCCATCAAAATTTATTTCAAAGTGCTGCAACTGTTCAAGGGATTGAGATAGAGTCAAAGGCTTTTCAGCGTTGGTTAAACGTTACATTATGATCGACTTGGGGTCATTTTTACCTTCTCACAAGTCCAAAATTTTCTTGGCGATGAGGGGGACTCTGCCCCCCTTTTCAAACCCCCTAACAGAAGGGGGCACATCCCCCTTCTCGCAACCCCCTGATGTATCTTTTGGATGGGGGGGGCGGCGCCGAAAAAGTGCTCAATTTTTTAAGCAACATTTCTCAAACGAAAACTTAGGTTTGGGGTCCAAATAGGACATTTTTTCACTATTTGAGGCCTTAAAAAAGGGGGGGGGTCGAAAGTGCGTTGTTTCGCGTATATATGTGGTAAAGGGTTAATACATCAACATATCTAATTTAAAAAAAAATTAATATTTTCATTTTCAGTTTGCAAAAGTTTGTCTGCCAATAAATTTTGCCGAAATATTTACCATACTGTGCTGTATATTAAATTTATATGTTAAATGAGCCGATTTAATGAACTCCGCCTATTTACATAATGCACTCGATTTGAATGGGCGGTGCTAACTGTAAGTTGGTAATAGGTTATATACAAAGTTTTAAGAAATTAATTTTCTTGCGTCACTTCATTCACTCGAAAATTAATTTCTTAAAATCCTGTATATAACCTATAACCTATACATATTTATCTTTAAAAATAAATAATTATTTCTCACCAGTTCTATTTGGTACTGGTAGGTAACTCCAATAAGGATAATATTAGTTATAAAAACTAGTTTGACATTCAAGCTAAAACAATTGTTTAAATAATGATAAAAATCTTAATGTTTGTAGATAAAAACAACAATGAAAATATATGTTAGAAAAATGTAAATGTTACTACCCTTTTGTTTCTACAATGATCAAATGAGAGACATAAGAATACAGTGTATAAATCTTATTGGTTGAAACAGATATATACATCAGGCTATTAACCTTGATCCATCTGTAGTTTTCTCTTCACTCTTTCCCTCGATACGTGCATATTGTTGACAATGCATAGGGCATCGCCAGAAGTTTTGCGGCATAGCGATGAAACAACTTAAACTGCTCGTACTTCGGTACACTTCTTCGTCTAATACAGGAGACCAGTTGCTGATGTCCTATCTAGAGTCCAGGGGAATGGCAGAGACGATGAGGACAGAGGGTGTGTGTGCCTCAAGCATAGAGTGATGGATTGAAAGGCAGGCCCTTTTCAGGCACAACAGCCATTTATAGGGGTATATACCTCCACCTTTTCGTATTTTCTCAGGTGACTGTACATTAAGGTTCTCATTGGCCACCATGCAGTGACCTACTTTTGGCAAAATTCATATCTTTGGTTAATACTTAAGAGGAATTGTATTGAGGTAATTTATCATCACTTTGTGCTTCAAAATTTACTTTTAAGGGCATGACATCATGTAAGTTATCAAATGACATGAAAATTTTACGGAGGCTGTGTAAAACAGGAGAAAATACTGAATATGATTAAGGCAGTGTCTAGAATGAAGTCAATTCTTGTTCAAATGTCTGAAATCGTCACCTTAGTGCAGTAACAGGTTAACTCCTATTGAATTATATAAGGAGTTAACCTGTTACTGCACTAAACAGACTAAATATGAGATTTAGTGACCTTATAATTATCAATAAAAGCTAAAGTAATCAAAATTATAATGTATATATATATCACAAAAAAACATGGAATTACATTTTTAAAGTTAACTTACTTAACAATTCAATATTTTACAACTTAACCTTTGTACAATCTGGTCAACTTATTCATGAAAATATAGCATTTGTAATATATAGCATTTGTAATATATAGCATTAAATTTTGTAATATTATAAGGCAGTTCTGTCATGCCTGTCAATATATCTTCACCTATTTATGCATGTATGCATTAAAATACTATAACACCGAGGTGACAAAATGGCTAGATAGTAGATACCCTTGGAAAAAGCTCAGTGGAATAAAAAATGATTACTGTTGTACAATTGATTGCTTGATCTTAGAAATTTCTGTAAAAATGTAAACAATATTCAAAATATACAGTTACATTATTATAACTATATACAAACTGACAATTGTTATCATACATGTATATTAGTAAAACAAAGAACACATATTTGGCATGATTACAGAGACAGATCCACTAAACAGTGGTCTCTGAAATATAATGGGATAAATACTGTTATTTTTATCATTTATCTTTTCTTTATTATAAACACGTAGAAGGCATTTGCCACAAGTGAAGAGTCAGGCCAGCCTTCACACTAATGCAGTATGACCAGGCTCTATATTGGTGGTAGTTAAATTTTTGTATCTTTAAACTTGGATTGGAAATGTTCCAAATTCATGTTACATAAATCCAGCATGTTAAGGGTTAAGCAGGACAGACTTGCTAGAATCCGGTCATATTAAAGGATTAGGTACCCTGTATATGTAAGGTTGACAAACTGTAATGTTTTTACCCTTTACCCTTTTTATATTTGAAAAATGGACTTGCCCAGATTAGAATACAGAACAGTCCATTTATGAATTAAAGGGATTTCAGGATCAAAATGCTAAATTTAGCCAGCCACCAGTTTAATGACTGGTCAGGCTGCTAGAAGGTGCAGTCAAGCCTGTGCTGGTGTCACAAGTCTTTTTACAGTTAAGGTAGCACTACTTAGTTGTGTGTATCAATAGATTGACAATAGACAGCAACAGATGTAGGGTAAAACAAACTTTGAAATATAACAAATTCGGACAAAAGTCTTAAAATATGTTCACATTATTACTTTCTGTTGCAATACAGACACAAATATACAGGCATGAAATTGCTTTTTTATGTCTTTAAACAAGCAACTGAGTTGAATAAAAAAATAACACAACATGTCAGAAATAATTACAAAATACTTGTGGAATGTTAAAACACAAGATGGTCCCTTTATATATTTTGTATAAATGAATTAATTTATAAAATATAAAACTTGCTAAAAAACTTTGGATGCTAATTATATCTTAAACATTTACTATTCTTTAATATGAAATAAGTTGCTTAAAAAAAACTAAATTTGGTCCTTAAAAAAAGTCTATAACTTGTGTCAAATTTAACATTTAAATACCATATTGTTTCTAATTAATGCCCCTAAGACGTGCATTTTTCCAAAAGGGGTGGGGGGATTAAAAAGAGCTTTAAATTTGTGCTGTAAAATACATAAGTAATTCAGTATATCATACAAGCAAGTTTATTTGTATTAATCTGTTGTAGATTTCAATAAAATATTGTTTTTTTTCAAGAATAATTGCTCTTTCAGTATGGATTAAATATACTATGAGACACCTTTAATGCAAGAAATTTCTTTTTGTCAAATGTGGCAGGGAGCGCTAATTAGAAGGTGGGCATTAATTGGAAACAATAAGGTATACATTATGCTTACTAACATTGCAATATAATGTTTAACATTAAAGCGTCAATTGAAGAACATCAGCAACATATACACAATATATATATATCATAGTTCTATATAATGAGCAAATTTCTTGTTAAAACAATAAAATCAAAATACTTCATCTATTTTTTATATTTGAATAGTAACTATTTTCACCTAACAATTTTTCTATCTTTAACAATAATCCAGGGGAATAATAATTATGATAAAAGAAAGTTCAAAACAGACACTGTAGTCTTTGAAGTTCCTATGTGCACCAATACTCATTCTCTATATAAAGTTTAAACACATCGTAAACAAACACAGTTTGACTGTTGACTGGACCATTTTTACTTGGATTGTTCCATTATAATACATGAGGTAGATCACCTATCGACTGGTTGAGTATCTTCTAGGACTGGTATCACAGATTTAGCGGCTATCTTCACTTTTTCGTCATCATGTTCCGTAAGCTGTCGTATAACATCAGGTATACTAGAGCTCAGCAAATCTTCTCTTAGTGCCTCTGAAATATAGTTTAAACATTGATCTATTTTTATATACAAGAAAATGCTATGGTAAGAATCATATTAAACAGTTTCATTATTAAATAAGGTCATTATTTATTTGAGAACATATCCTTTAAAAAAATCATCCCCTATAAAAAATGACTGAATACAGATCTAAATCTACATTGTAACATTGACCTTAGATTGCTGTTAGGACACTCACAATATTTTCCATTGTGTTGTCTGCTTAAATTTTTTAGCATTCATTGTGACATTACACATTGACTAGAGATGGCAATCATGATATTGAGATTAATGTTCATTGACCTAAAATTGTTAGAATGACATTTAGATAAGTGTTCATTGACCTGAGATTGCCATTATGACATTCAGATAAGTGTTCATTGACCTGAGATTGCCATTATGACATTCAGATAAGTGTTCATTGACCTGTGATTGCCATTATGACATTTAGATAAGTGTTCATTGACCTGAGATTGCAATTATGATATTCAGATAAGTGTTCATTGACCTGTGATTGCAATTATGATATTCAGATAAGTGTTCATTGACCTGTGATTGCAATTATGATATTCAGATAAGTGTTCATTGACCTGTGATTGCCATAATGACATTTAGATAAGTGTTCATTGACCTGTGATCGCCATTTTGACATTCAGATAAGTGTTCATTGACCTGAGATTGCAATTATGATATTCAGATAAGTGTTCATTGACCTGTGATTGCCATTATGACATTTAGATAAGTGTTCATTGACCTGAGATTGCAATTATGATATTCAGATAAGTGTTCATTGACCTAAAATTGTTATAATGACATTTAGATAAGTGTTCATTGACCTGAGATTGCCATTATGACATTCAGATAAGTGTTCATTGACCTGAGATTGCCATTATGACAGTCAGATAAGTGTTCATTGACCTGTGATTGCCATTATGACATTTAGATAAGTGTTCATTGACCTGTGATTGCAATTATGATATTCAGATAAGTGTTCATTGACATGTGATTGCAATTATGATATTCAGATAAGTGTTCATTGACCTGTGATTGCCATAATGACATTTAGATAAGTGTTCATTGACCTGTGATCGCCATTTTGACATCCAGATAAGTGTTCATTGACCTGTGATTGCAATTATGATATTCAGATAAGTGTTCATTGACTGTATGCATTATGACCAGATAAGTGATTGACCTGTGATTATGACATTTAGATAAGTGTCCATTGACCTGAGATTGCAATTATGATATTCAGATAAGTGTTCATTGACCGAAAATTGTTATAATGACATTTAGATAAGTGTTCATTGACCTGTGATCGCCATTTTGACATCCAGATAAGTGTTCATTGACCTGTGATCGCCATTTTGACATCCAGATAAGTGTTCATTGACCTGAGATTGCCATTATGACATTCAGATAAGTGTTCATTGACCTGAGATTGCCATTATGACATTCAGATAAGTGTTCATTGACCTGTGATTGCCATTATGACATTTAGATAAGTGTTCATTGACCTGTGATTGCAATTATGATATTCAGATAAGTGTTCATTGACCTGTGATTGCAATTATGATATTCAGATAAGTGTTCATTGACCTGTGATTGCAATTATGATATTCAGATAAGTGTTCAATGACCTGTGATTGCCATAATGACATTTAGATAAGTGTTCATTGACCTGTGATTGCCATTTTGACATTCAGATAAGTGTTCATTGACCTGAGATTGCAATTATGATATTCAGATAAGTGTTCATTGACCTGTGATTGCAATTATTACATTTTGATAAGTGTCCATTGACCTGAGATTGCAATTATGATATTCAGATAAGTGTTCATTGACCTAAAATTGTTAAAATGACATTTAGATAAGTGTTCATTGACCTGAGATTGCCATTATGACATTCAGATAAGTGTTCATTGACCTGAGATTGCAATTATGACAGTCAGATAAGTGTTCATTGACCTGTGATTGCCATTATGACATTTAGATAAGTGTTCATTGACCTGTGATTGCAATTATGATATTCAGATAAGTGTTCATTGACATGTGATTGCAATTATGATATTCAGATAAGTGTTCATTGACCTGTGATTGCCATAATGAAATTTAGATAAGTGTTCATTGACCTGTGATCGCCATTTTGACATCCAGATAAGTGTTCATTGACCTGTGATTTTGACATTCAGATATGTGTTCATTGACCTGAGATTGCAATTATGATATTCAGATAAGTGTTCATTGACCTGTGATTACCATTATTACATTTAGATAAGTGTCCATTGACCTGAGATTGCAATTATGATATTCAGATAAGTGTTCATTGACCGAAAATTGTTATAATGACATTTAGATAAGTGTTCATTGACCTGAGATTGCCATTATGACATTCAGATAAGTGTTCATTGACCTGGGATTGCCATTATGACATTCAGATAAGTGTTCATTGACCTGTGATTGCCATTATGACATTTAGATAAGTGTGACATTCAGATAAGTGTTCATTGACCTGTGATTGCCATTATGACATTTAGATAAGTGTTCATTGACCTGTGATTGCAATTATGATATTCAGATAAGTGTTCATTGACCTGTGATTGCAATTATGACATTCAGATAAGTGTTCATTGACCTGTGATTGCCATTTTGACATTCAGATATGTGTTCATTGACCTGTGATTGCCATTATGACATTCAGATAAGTGTTTGTCGACCTGAGATTGCAATTATGTATGACATTCAGGTAAGTGTTCACAAGCCTGAATTTGTAATTATGTATGACATTCAGATAAGTGTTCACAAGCCTGAATTTGTAATTATGACATTTAGATTAGTGTTCACTGACCAGACATTGTCATTTTGACATTCAGATAGGTGTTTACTGACCTGAGATTGCCATAATGACATTCAAATTAATGTTCACTGACCTGAGATTATTATTATGACTTAACATTAATGTTCACTGACCTCAAACTGCCATTATGACATTTAAATTAAGGTAAGTTTTCACTGACCTGAGATTGCCATTATAACATTTATTTAAAAAATCATTTTGACATTGACCAAATAAAACATTTACTGTTGATTTTCAATGTGATATTGACTTAACGAAATGACCTTCCAATCAATGTGTGAAGATCATGCTAATTGTTGTCATGATGATAACTATAGTATATAGAGACCAGGTTGAGGCATATCCATTGGACCACTATGGTCAGTTTATGTAATTTACAAATATGGTCAAGTATACTTTCTTGCTTTTCAAACATTCTCCATGTGCAAAGTGGATTTGTAATGAAAAGTCAATAACTGTTAAAACCTAAATCAAATGATATAAAAATAAAATAATGACTAATAATAACTAGACCTATCACTGAAGGTGATTAATACCCCCACCTGAAACTTTGACTTTTTGAAAAAAAAAGTAGTCTGAAGAAAAATTTGAACACAAACTATCAACTGTGTACAAAGAAATATTTCAATTAATTGTAATTGCAACTGGGGTCTTGAAATAAGCTTGCTATACACCAAGTTTGATTACAATATCTCATTCCTAACTCTACTTATTGTCCGAAAACCATTTTTCTATTTTTCGTAACGGTGACCTTGACCCCAGGGGGCCCAAATGCAATACCAACCAAGGTCTTCATATAAGCTTGCTATACGCCAAGTTTGATAATAATATCTCATTCCTAACTCTAGTTATTGTCCAGAAACCATTTTTCTATTTTTAGTAATGGTGACCTTGACCCCAGGGGGTCCAAATGCAATACCAACCCAGGTCTTCATATAAGCTTGCTATACATCAAGTTTGATTACAGTATCTCATTCCTAAGTCAAGTTATTGTCTGGAAACCATTTTTCTATTTTTAGTAATGGTGACCTTGACCCCAGAGGGTCCAAATGCAATACCAACCGGAGTTTCCACATAAGGTTGCTATATACCAAGTCTTCATATAAGCTTGCTATACATCAAGTTTGATTACAGTATCTCATTCCTAAGTCAAGTTATTGTCTGGAAACCATTTTTCTATTTTTAGTAATGGTGACCTTGACCCCAGAGGGTCCAAATGCAATACCAACCGGAGTTTCCACATAAGGTTGCTATATACCAAGTTTGATAACAATACCTCATTCTAAACTCTAGTTATCGTCCGGAAACCATGATGTGGACCGACCAACGGACCGACCAACAAGCTGACTCCTATATACCCCCCCCCTAAACTTTGTTTGTGGGGGTATAATAAACTTTGTTTGTGGGGGTATAATAATTATATGAATAATTCAAAATAATGCAAGAAACGATTGTATATATAGATTACACCACAAATATACAAGACAATACAACAAGCTGCACATCACTAAACCAACAACATTTTGCATCAAGCCACCATAATAGTCAAAACACAGTGTCTGCCTCTCTATAAAGGGACCATGGGTAAGAGCATTGCTGCCAGCAGTCTAAGGGTTAATATAAGCCAGTCTATTATCAAAGACTAGGTCAAACTATACTTTCAACTATTCCTACGCTTGAAGTACTTGAAACATTGTTTCTGCAGAATATCTCTTACACCAAATTCATTTAGCACCAAGTAATAGCAAAATAAGTGCAAAATGTAAACTCCAACAATTTTATATACTGATGTGTTTGTTAAGGCAAAAACTGATGCAGAATCAAATGCGCAAATGTAGAGTGAATCTGCTCACATACAGGTATGTGCAACTAAATCAGAAATAAAACTTTCCTCGAAAACCAGAAGTTTACATAGATTTTATAAACCTGGAACCCAGACAGTAATAAAAATCATCTTAATATATTATACTTATTTTATTGTATGCATGTGAGTGCATTCCTGAACCTAACAGTAAGGAAAATATCCTAAGTTACATGCATAATTCATATGTGCATGTGCATATTTACTAACGTATATGATCAATTAGAGAGACACAAAATTGGCAGTGTACATGGAACCTTTTAAGTCCAGACTCTAAAAAAAACAACAAGCTATCAATTAAATTCAGTGCATGTACAATGGAGACTAATGATTTATACTCATATTGGTCTATTTTAATGTCCCTGTTTTTTTCTATTCAACCAATTGTGATTATGTTTGTTTTATTTTTCATAGACATAGCACCTAAATATTTACTTCATTTGCAGTGTGCAGTGTCAATATTTAGGTGGTATGGGGAGTGGCTGAAATAGAGACTTAATAGGTTTCACCTGAAACTTTTGAAAAAATTAAAATGCTGGTTTTTAACTTTATATAGATTATTAAGACTGTTTTACTTTAAACATGCAAGGTAAAATATTGTACTAATAATTATGTAATAGATAATCTAACAAGAGCTGTCCGTAAGACAGCGCGCTCGACTTTTTTATTGCTTGCCAATAAAAAAAGTTTTTGCAGTAAAAGGCAATACAAGAACCAAGATTCTAAGTCGATAAAAGGCCTTAATTTTTAAAACAAATCCTTGACAGAGTTACCTTCTCTTGCGTACAGATGGGGGTAATGATGTGAAATAGCATTAAAAGTTTCAAAGCAATATCTCAAAGGGTTAAGGCAATAAGTGGATTTTACCCATATTCAATGTATTTTCTAAGTCAAAAAGGGGCATAATTCTGTCAAAAACCTTGACAGAGTTATGTCCTCTTGTCTGTTGATGAAGGTCGTGATGGTAAACAAGTATGGTCAGTTTCAAAGCAATACCTCCAATGGTTTTGAAATAAAGTGAGGTGGTACAAAAAACTTAACCAAGCTCAATACACTTTCTAAGTCAAAAAAGGGCCATAATTCTGTCAAAAACCTTGACAGAGTTATGTACTCTTGTCTGTAGATGGAGGTTATGATGGTGAACAAGTATGGTAAGTTTCAAAGCCATACTTGTAATACTTCTGAAATAAAGTGGGGTGGTACGAAAAACTTAACCAAGGTGTGACGCCAACGCCGACGCCGGGGCGAGTAGGATAGCTCCCCTTTTCATAGAAAAGTCGAGCTAAAAATTAACTTAAACATACATGTAGGATCAACAGAGGAAAAACATTGAAACTACACACCTACATTTAAATACAGATGGCTCAAGTAATCTTACTGTGAATTAAATAATTTTAATATACATGCATTCATGTATAAATTATACATATAGTATATGTTACATTAACCACATATAATTATCTTTCCCATAACACTTTCAAATCCAATACATCAATCCATTTAAGAACAAAAATTGTCCATAGAACATCATGCTTGTCTTTTCTCAGTGGAATAAAAAGAGGCAGGTACTTATGTTGAAGTTCATGTTCTCTTGCTAAAGATCAGAAATAAGAATATTCTAGATTTTAAACCCAAGAGGTTTTCGAGGAGCAACACTCTCGGAGCTGGATAGTAAACTGGAACTATTTATAGTGTTGTTTCCATTTAAGTTAATTACCATGAACAAAAACTTAACCAAACAAGTTTATGAACGCCACTTCTACCAAGTGGATGGAAAAATGGAATTAAAAATACCTCAAATGGTGAAGTGAAAACTGAAAAACCTCAATGGTTGCAGTAAATATGGGGTGCTACAAAAAACAACTCGCCAATTAAGGTGTACACTGAATGAATGTAACCATCAAGACATTAGTGAATACAAAAGCCCTCCCTTTTTTTTTGCAAATTTTTTAATTGAGAAACATTTTGACATACTATTATGCTACATAGATTAAAAGATCCAACTTGAATGCTTGGAGATTTTAAAAAACAAGCAGTTATCCAGAAAGTATTCCTGGTATCTGTACCAGTGCCTACCTGCACTGCTGCATGACAATTTTTAGGAAGATGAAAACAGTTTAAGACGAAAAGTATTAGATAAAATTTTGTGACTGTCATCAAAAACTATGTGCATTACCCAGGATTTGAACTTTTCTATGTAAAAAAACTCGATGCTCATAGTTCTGAGGTTGGTACTGTTAACACTCTTTCGACTATATATCAAACAGGATTTACAATTCATCAACAGAAATTACTAAGGAAGAAAATAACAAGAGCTGTCCGTAAGACAGCGCGCTCGACTTTTTTATTGCTTGCCAATAAAAAAAGTTTTTGCAGTAAAAGGCAATACAAGAATCTCTGTATTTTTAAAGTGAACAATGGCCATGAGCATTAAGATATTTAGTGAAGAATTATTTTACTGAATTACAAAACATTGACAGTTAAGGGCCATAATTCAAATAAAATCTTTGACAGAATTACCTTCTCCTGGACATGTTTGGGAATCATGATTGTAAACAAGTATTCCAACTTTCAAATTAATATCTCAAACAGTTCAGTCAAAAAGTGGACTGGTACTAAAAACTTAACCAAGATTCTAAGTCGATAAAAGGCCTTAATTTTTAAAACAAATCCTTGACAGAGTTACCTTCTCTTGCGTACAGATGGGGGTAATGATGTGAAATAGCATTAAAAGTTTCAAAGCAATATCTCAAAGGGTTAAGGCAATAAGTGGATTTTACCCATATTCAATGTATTTTCTAAGTCAAAAAGGGGCATAATTCTGTCAAAAACCTTGACAGAGTTATGTCCTCTTGTCTGTTGATGAAGGTCGTGATGGTAAACAAGTATGGTCAGTTTCAAAGCAATACCTCCAATGGTTTTGAAATAAAGTGAGGTGGTACAAAAAACTTAACCAAGCTCAATACACTTTCTAAGTCAACAAGAGCTGTCCGTAAGACAGCGCGCTCGACTTTTTTATTGCTTGCCAATAAAAAAAGTTTTTGCAGTAAAAGGCAATACAAGAATCTCTGTATTTTTAAAGTGAACAATGGCCATGAGCATTAAGATATTTAGTGAAGAATTATTTTACTGAATTGTGTGATACCCTTGAACACTGCAGCAAAGTTTTTTAGTGCTTGCCTATAATACAAAACATTGACAGTTAAGGGCCATAATTCAAATAAAATCTTTGACAGAATTACCTTCTCCTGGACATGTTTGGGAATCATGATTGTAAACAAGTATTCCAACTTTCAAATTAATATCTCAAACAGTTCAGTCAAAAAGTGGACTGGTACTAAAAACTTAACCAAGATTCTAAGTCGATAAAAGGCCTTAATTTTTAAAACAAATCCTTGACAGAGTTACCTTCTCTTGCGTACAGATGGGGGTAATGATGTGAAATAGCATTAAAAGTTTCAAAGCAATATCTCAAAGGGTTAAGGCAATAAGTGGATTTTACCCATATTCAATGTATTTTCTAAGTCAAAAAGGGGCATAATTCTGTTAAAAACCTTGACAGAGTTATGTCCTCTTGTCTGTTGATGAAGGTCGTGATGGTAAACAAGTATGGTCAGTTTCAAAGCAATACCTCCAATGGTTTTGAAATAAAGTGAGGTGGTACAAAAAACTTAACCAAGCTCAATACACTTTCTAAGTCAAAAAAGGGCCATAATTCTGTCAAAAACCTTGACAGAGTTATGTACTCTTGTCTGTAGATGGAGGTTATGATGGTGAACAAGTATGGTAAGTTTCAAAGCCATACTTGTAATACTTCTGAAATAAAGTGGGGTGGTACGAAAAACTTAACCAAGCTCAATACACTTTCTAAGTCAAAAAAGGGCCATAATTCTGTCAAAAACCTTGACAGAGTTATGTACTCTTGTCTGTAGATGGAGGTTATGATGGTGAACAAGTATGGTAAGTTTCAAAGCCATACTTGTAATACTTCTGAAATAAAGTGGGGTGGTACAAAAAACTTAACCAAGCTCAATACACTTTCTAAGTCAAAAAAGGGCCATAATTCTGTCAAAAACCTTGACAGAGTTATGTACTCTTGTCTGTAGATGGAGGTTATGATGGTGAACAAGTATGGTAAGTTTCAAAGCCATACTTGTAATACTTCTGAAATAAAGTGGGGTGGTACGAAAAACTTAACCAAGGTGTGACGCCAACGCTAACGCTAACGCCGACGCCGACGCCGGGGCGAGTAGGATAGCTCCCCTTTTCATAGAAAAGTCGAGCTAAAAAAGGGCCATAATTCTGTCAAAAACCTTGACAGAGTTATGTACTCTTGTCTGTAGATGGAGGTTATGATGGTGAACAAGTATGGTAAGTTTCAAAGCCATACTTGTAATACTTCTGAAATAAAGTGGGGTGGTACGAAAAACTTAACCAAGGTGTGACGCCAACGCCGACGCCAACGCCGACGCCGACGCCGGGGCGAGTAGGATAGCTCCCCTTTTCATAGAAAAGTCGAGCTAAAAATTAAAAGTATTATTTTATCTAACCCTTATCCTGCTGGAACCAAAACTGATTAGCCACTACCACCACCAGTATAGAGCCTGTCCAGCCGGCACATCCATGCAGTTTGACCAGGCTCCATACTCTTAGTAGCTCTGTTTTTATAATTTAGATATTGAAATCCCTTAAACTTTGAATGAACTGTTCCAAATTCAAAACAGGGCAAGTCCATTACACAAATTCAGCAGGTTGTGGGTTAAGATCAATGTTTCAATATGATACTATGAGAACTATGAATAATGAACACACATTGCTTAGCAACTACATATATAGACAACATATAATACTCAGACACATACTGCCAGCGTAGGGGAGAAGACCGGTGCAAGCCAGAAGTCTACAGGGAAGTGACTGGGACATCTGCGGGACGGCTGTAAAGCATGGGTGCACAACACATGTTAACAACTCTATCACTTCTCAATATCTATACTGTATACTTCAAAATTACTCAATTTAAGAAGAATACAAAATTATTTAATCCTTAACTTGCTGAATTTCTTAAACAGACTAGTCCAGTTTTCATTTTTGAAACTGACTATTATTATATTATCAATTTTAGGAACATTAAGAAGTAAATTTAACATAGATCAGCCAACAGTACAGAGCCTGGTCAGATTTCATGGAAGTGCAGATTGGCTCGGTTCTATACTGGCCTGGTTCTATAATGGCGGCAGATGACCATCACTTTTAGTTCCAGCAGGGTAATAGTTAAGGACTGTTATAAATATTTTGCTTATTTTTTTTTCTGCTTGATTACAATATTAACATTCTTAATTTTATTCAAATCCTATACAAGAGAGTTGGTATGAAGCACTTTATGTCCCTGGATTGTGCACCATTTCTAATTTGTTATTTTTTCCCCACAGCTGTAGCAAGTAAACATAGCACGATAGCAGCCTTGAATCCATAGATGATATATCTGCTTAACCCTTAACATGCTGGAAACAAAGTGATGTAACATTTGCCATCAATATAGAGCTAGGCATGGTTGCACATCAAAGCAGTCTGGCCAGGCTCTATATTCTAGTGCTTGCTCAATTTTCGTACATGTATTTTAACATTTAAATCCCTTAAACTTTCAATGGACTGTTCCAAATTTATAGCAGGGAAAATCCTTTATACAAATTCAGTAGGTTCAGGGTTTAAAATAACATGGTGTTATTTTAGTGGAGAGATTACACATACATTTTGTATACATTTATGCAAATTTACATTATATTGAATTATGGATGGAAGTATTCATATTTAATATTCCTGATGACAGAGACTATGCTGTTATTCTCATGACAATAGTTTTTCAAGTGATACTTGAAAACATTTTTTCAAATGATAATTCAAGCTGGTGAAATTGTTTCTTATGTAGGTTTTTTTACATGATCAATTGGTTCATTAAAGCGAAGTACACATGTACTATCATACTGTCTGGAAATGATTTAAAAATCATCACAGCTGCTTTTTTTTAAGTTATTTATATATTAAAGATTATAATTCAAGATCAACGTAATTAAAAATAGTCAGTATCTAGAACAAAACTTTCCTAACTGTTGCTTTAGCAACCATTGATTTATGTAGAATTGATCAGCTTCTGGAGTATTAGCAGCAATACTGACTTGCCTATCCCACCAGTATAATGCAAGACAAAAACAATCTGCAATTCCGCGAAGTCTAACCACTCTTAACTATGCTGACAGCTTTGATTAAATAGAAATCCCATAACCTTTAACCTGCTGGCAGCTTCTGAATCTATCCCTGTGACTACTGTAAATTGTGATCCACTTGCACATTACATGCTGTCTTATAAACATATTCTGCAATGTTTGCTATTCAGCTGGTTCATATTTAATTTTTCCCTAAAAACTATCAATGGTTTTGCCCAGATTGAAAGATGGACAAGTCCATTTAAGGTCTTTAGCGTGGTTAGGGTTTAATTCAAAATATTGGAATTCAAAATAGGACAATTCTATTCCATCAATTCAATACGGAAAAGGTTGAAAATGCTTTAATACTGAGCAACAAAAGAAAGCCAGTTTAAGTTATAAGAACAAAGAGGTGCTCTGAAATGAAAGCAAAATTAGACTTAGTTAATAATGTACACTCCATTTTAAAATATAGTCAAACTGTAAGCCTTCAAATCAACACCTCAGAATATTATACCTGTTAAGACAATAGCAAACAACTTGAATAAATCTATGCCTAAACCTATGCCTAAACATTGACATTTTTTCAAGACTAAGTCATAAAAGATCAAGGACCAATGGACCTTTGACCCTTTATATGTTTCCTAGCATATAGATCAGCCACATAGCAGTTATCAGATAGTAATTAAGACTACTGATTAAGAAACTGTTGAAACCAAAAATTAACAGAAACAAAAAAACCTATTTGGTGTTGTTGTTGTTGTAGTTTTTAAGAATGGTGCAAAGATATTTACCTGATGAGCATATAGTTCTGGTCAGAGTTAGTGTATTACATTTGATCTCTGGTAATGTTTCATCTGCCTTTAATAACTGAGTTATAGTGTCTAAAATATCTGCCTCCTTCAGTGGTAGAGCTGCATCAGCTGTAAAAAAATAACATCAATTCTTCTGTATCTCCATAGTAACAAAATCAACAGATACATTTTTTACCAATGATCATGCTATATTTGTTTTTTTTTTTTAATTTTGATTGTTTTGTTCTGTTATAGCGCTTTAAAATTTTGATTGTTTTGTTTTGTTATAGCGCACTAACACAATTTAGGTCATTGAAACACCAAGATGATTTTGGCTAACCTCAGGTGTTACAAACTTTAAGCAACACCAGAGGTCAAAACAACCTCAATAGCTGGAGCTTAGAGGTGCAATGACTCCAGTATTTCGAACCCATTTAGTCGCCTCTTACAATCACACAGGGATAAAATTAATAGCTGCTGCAATTCTGATGCTTCAACCCTTATATTCTGATTAAAATACAATCAACTCCCAACTAAAATGAAGACTTCCTATAGTTTGCAAAACAATCGCTGCTTTAACATATTAGCCAAAAACTAGTAAATTTGATGTCTGGCATTATGAATTAACCTAATTTCATGACTCAAAATTTTCCCAAATCAACCTAGCCAAAACCTTTTCCCAAAGGGTAGAAAAACACTGAAATATCCTCTACCAGACATAGCCGTTGGAATAAACATTTAATTTTCCATCATATAAACTGCAATCAATAAGTAACTTCACTCTAACTTGATAATTTAATAACAAACTTACCTAGCACTGTTGAAGCTATTAAAGTAAGTGCAACTAGAGATTCATTCTGCATGACTATATGTTCTGATGTTGCCATAGCAACCAAAAATGGTATCCCATCAGCCCTTATAATGTTTCTCATAACGTCTTCCGCTCGACTGTTCTTCACCAACCAAGCCATTAGTCTAGTTGCCTCCCCTTGAGCAAAATACAACATCTCATCAAAGCAATGCAACACTATATAAATCTATGATTGCTGTACATATCTTTTAAAATCATAATGTTGCATCATTCATCATGTCTTATCATGATGAATTAAATCACCATCAATCAATACAGCATAGAATTGATGGCAACAGAAAAATCATTTTATTATCTTGCTTTCCAATAAAATATATCACACAGAAAGCTCTGAAGTTTGTCTTACTTTCTATGCAGGTGGCCTAACATAAAACAGAGACTGATGAATGAAATACCTAAAATTCAGCTATAAAACAACAACAACAACATCAACAACAATAAACAACAGAAAATTGATTCAGAGGAAAAAAACCTCTTCAGAGTAATTTGATACTCTGATGTATTTTTTTTAATGATTTTTTTATCAAATTAAATGAAGCTACTGTTTACATTCAGTCAGTATCAAAGTTATCAAATTAGGCCCATCCTTGGCATAGCCTCAGGGGAGATCACTAGAGAAAATAATTCAGATGTCTAGTTTCCAGTTCATGTTATAAGAATATGTTTGTTATAGAAAAAGTACTACCAATTATATTTACAGACTTTTTGACTGAATTACAGATCACAACAAACTTCAAGACATTTTCAGGAGTTTTTATATTGACATATTGGCAAAATTAAAATGTTCAATAGAATTTTATTAAATTTGGCATGTTGTTAGAATATGATAACAGAAAAATTTTAAGCGAAAAATTTGGGGGTCACCATTCTTATTTTTGAGTTATTTCTGCTGAATTGGACATTTTTTAATCAAGGGCAGATAAGTCACAAATAAGGTAAACAATACCATATTTTGTAAAAATATTCATGAAGCTAACTTCCATTAAATTTCTAGGAAAAATAAAGAGCGAATTGGCTTTTTTCCATTCTCTAACACTGTGACATTTTTTCTTAATAAATGGCCTATTTCTAAAGAATTTCAAGTCCCTTTTTTTAAATTGAAAAACTGTACCAATAATTATTTATGAAATTGCACGTTAGTATGTAATGTGATCAACAATAAAAAGAAAAGAAAAACATTCTCCAGAAGTAAAAACAATAATTTATAGACATACATATAAGTTATCTGCCCTTGAAATGACCTCAAATAAGTAAATAATTCTGATTCAAGGGCAGACAACTCAAAAGTGAGATCGGTGACATCCAACTTTTCCCCCCTCAAAATATTTCTGTAATCATATTCTAACAACCCACCATGTTTAAAGAAATTCTACTGAACAGCTTTAATTTTGCTTATATGTCTATACGAAAACTCCTTGAAAGGTCCTTAAGTCCATGTGACATTATCTATACATTTCTGTTAACATAACAACAATAAAAGAGCACTTCCTCAATATCAAAAGTTAAATCATACAAAAATTACCTTTGACCCCTGGGTGCTCTTCACAAGCACTCCACTCTACAAGTCTTGTAACAAATTCTCTATGTTGACCTAGTTTCACCGCAGCATCATCTTAAAATAGAATATGATGTCATTCATTAACGATGTTTCAGTTTAAGCAAAACTCACCCTGTGATCCCTATCACATTTTTCATATCTGTGTGTTGTCTGTTTTCTTTATGTGCCATACCATATATTGTTCATTTCTCTTTTAACTTTTCATTTTTTTCTTTATGCCAACTAAAGAACATGCTACGCTAGTATTTGTGATGATTTCAAACAGCAGTGATTTTATTTTTAAACAAAACATTAAGTCTTAACATTTTTTAACAAGAGCGATCAGTAATCACATGTGTCGCCTCATGATGGCCAATTTCATGTTGGGACAAATTTTGTGACAGAAGGACAGACAGTGCACAACTAGACTTGGTACTGATCATTCCTGTAAAGTTTGGATAAAATTGCACCAGTAGTTTATGAGGAGTAGTCCGGACAAGCTTTTGCGTATCTGGCAACACACAGAAAAAAAACCACCTTTTTATCAAAGGGCCATAACTCGGCCGAAAATCATTCAACCGGAAAACCCGTGCAATATGCGCAAGGACTTCAGCTACAGATCAATCCTGTAAAGTTTCACTGAAATTGCATTAGTGGTATAAGAGAAGTAGTCCGGACAAACTTTAAAAATCAAAATTATTAAAGGGCCATAACTCAAACAAAAATCATTGAACCAAAAAATGCTGACAATTTGCACAACTAGACTTGGTACTGATCATTCCTGTAAAGTTTGGATGAAATTGCACCAGTAGTTTATGAGGAGTAGTCCAGACAAGCTTTTGTGTATCTGGCAACACACAGAAAAAGAAACCTTTTTATCAAAGGGCCATAACTAGGCCAAAAATCATTCAACCAGAAAACCCTAGCAATATGCGCAAGGACTTGAGCTACAGATCAATCCTGTAAAGTTTCATTGAAATTGCATTAGTGGTATAAGAGAAGTAGTCCGGACAAACTTTAAAAATAAAAATTATTAAAGGGCCATAACTCTGACAAAAATCCCTGAACTGGAAAATGCTGACAATATGCACAACTAGACTCGGTACTGGTCATTCCTGTAAAGTTTGGATGAAATTGCACCGGTAGTTTATGAGGAGTAATCCGGACAAGTTTTGTGACGGACGGACGGACAGACAGACAGACGGACGTTCTCTCAGAACAGTAATTATGTGGCTACTCTATTGTTCTCTCTATTGTTCTTTTTAGCCACACAAAAGAAAATAGCCACATTAAAGCATTACGGAATGAATGACATCAAAGAGAAAGAACAGTTACCTATTGTCCCTCTAGCCACATAATTACTCTCCTGTGAGTGCGGACAGACAGACAGACAGACAGGCGGACAGACAGACGACGGAGAAGTGTTCCCTATATAACGCCACTACTCCGTAGAGGCGACACAATAAATAAAGCTCTATTAACCTTAAGCCTGCTAACTGCAACTACCCATATGACGAGAGGGTATTAAAATCATGGTCTGCTCTATTCACTTTTCAGTCAGTACTAATTATTTTGAAATTTTCGCTAAAAAAAATGAATGGATTTCTCCAGATCGTCCATTTTAGAAATTTCATATCTTGGGTTAAAATTTCATAAAGTAAGACTGACAAAACATGAGAGATTTATTTTTTTGTATGAAAATGCATACTTTTCTGTCAATAAACATAACAAACACAGTTAAGCAACATACCTTGACCATCAACAAGCATACGTAACACCCCTAGCATTTTGAATATAACGGCTAACATTTCTGAGTCTACAAGAACCAACACAGCATCTATAACTCCCTCTTTGATCAGTGAAGCTTTATTACCCGCTGTAAAAAAAATATGCTGTTTGTCTGCTATTGTGTTTTCAATTTTAATATTCATGAAAATTCAAACGAATAAAGTAGTCAACAAAACTACAAGCAGTCAAAAATCGTCTACCAAATGTTAATACATTTTTTTTTTATTTGTTGGGTTGCACCAACACAGTATAGGTCATATGGCGACTTTCCAGCTTGACTGATGGAGGAAAAACCTCAGGTGCCCTTACACTCATTATTTCAGCCATGAACAGGCACCAGAGTAGGTAAGCTAGCTGGATAGCTTCCTCACATGTAAAAAGTCCCTGTTGGGATTCAAACCCCCAGCAGTGAGGGATAAGTTGTTTGAAGTCAATGACCTTAACCATGGATGCCCTAGATGTTAACACAGAAACATAAGTAGGATAATGATTACATATATGAAAACACATGAAACACCAAATACATGTACTATAAGGTCAGATTGACACAGCCACTTTAGTAGATTAATTTTTATAATTTTGAAGAAAAAAAATCAAAAAAGTTTCAAAGAAATATTATACATGTACAAGAATGGTGATACACATAATTTCTTAAACATTGATAGGTTTGCTTTAAATGCTACATTTTACCCATGTTTTACATTTTTCATGATCTGATTAGCTTTTAAGTTTTATTAATCATAATAGACTATAACTTATATATGTAAGTTTAGACATAAAAGTTACAAATATTTTCAGGAATATCTATAAATAATTTTTCATATATGGGATAAATTTGTACATTAGCTGAATATGGTTTATTGATACAATTTGCAGACCAAAATTATGCCTTCAGTGTAATTTGCCAAACCAGTAATATAATCTGAAAGGCACTCTTTATCCTGGAATCATCGGCGACATTTCCCAATAACCAAACCAAATATCAATAACAATTACATGCCATGACTCTTAACCATTTCTATAGAAACAGTTTATTGTACAAATGACAAGTAGTTTAGTAGTGGGGCATAAACCATCTCAATAATTATACAAGAGTAAGATTATTCCACGGTGATTCCTCGAGGGTAATTAGGAGGCCTAATACGATATATTATACATAACAAGTAAAGTAAGTTAAGATGAGAAATTCTTTCAGCAGTTTTAAGACGAGAAATTCTTTCAGCAGTTTTAAGACTTCAAGAGACAAAAATATTGAGAATATCAGATAAATCAAATGTTGATTTGCCAAAACTAAAAAAAACTGGTGTAAAACTGAGAAAAATTTAAGCTAGGCGACCTTGAATCTCATTTAAAGTGCAGATGACTCTTCAAGGTGAAAACTTATCAAATATTGATAATATTGGTTAATTATTTAATAATCTGTAATGGGAAAGTAGAAAATCTATTTTTAGCCTCAGTAACCTCAAGTCCTATCAACATCAAATCATATCATCAGGTAGCAGTCACATCAAAGCAAAAAAAAATAAAATAAAAGAGTAAAAGTACAAAATGATATTTTAGCCAAAGTGACCCTCCAAAAAACACAAAGCCCATCAAAGTATAGAGGTCCATGTGTTGCACTATAAAGAGAAGTTTGATAGATGAACAAATATAATACTCACATGCATTTATTTTAGGGGGGGGGGATGAAATACACTATTTGTCATATTGTAAAAAGAATTTTTTTTGACAATTTTTTTCCACATAATACTTTAAACCTTTATGTAATAGTTGCATAATCTAATATAAATAATCATTGTGCTTTATAACAAAACAATCATTTACGATGCCAAAGTAGACAGATAGAGTTATATATACAACAGTTGCACAAGAATATACCTATTGTATTAATAATAAACATACTTCACAATAAAAAATAAACACTTGTGATTACAAAGTAGAATGGTAATTGTAAATGACAGATTTAATACAGGTAATTACACCTTCATGAAGATAAGAGAGTTATAAATAATTTACCAGGTATAGCCAGATTACGTAGAGCACTGAGACTAGCATGTTCTAAAGTACATTTCTGTTCTCCATAAACTGGTTTCAGTAGACGTAGTAACCTTTTTATAACGCCCTGTTCTACCAGAAACTGACAGTGTTCATCTGTACAAAAAAAAAATATGATATTGAGATTTAATCATTGTGCAATGTGGTAAATTACTTAATGCTGCATACCAAAATATTCATGCTTATTTTAAAAATGTAGAAAATGTCCATAAAAAAGTCGCTAAGCTAGCTTATGGCACTAACTGTCCACTTAAAATGTGCCAAAATATACAAAAATAGCCCTACTTAATACATTTTACAGGATAATCATATAATGTTAAAGATAGCAAATTTAGTCACTTTTGACACTTAATAATGTCAAGGACATACATGAACTTTCTGACTTGACTAGTGGAGGAAAACCTCTGGTGATTTGTGCATTATTTTAGGCAATAGAAAGATTAAGAAATAAGATTGACTTTTTTTCATAATGACTGACTAATTTTCATAATGATTTACTATTTTTCATAATGATCAACTTTTTTTCATAATGATCAACTTTTTTTCAATCTTATACTGTTGCTGAAATTTGCATGAACAATCTGTTATCACTCAAAATAATCTGACAGAAACTAACTTCATATCATATATATGCACCTGTTTATACATCTTTGGCCAGAATTCTTTCAAACAAACAGATTAAAAAAACTGTTTACCATGCTTCAATTTCAACGAAAGGACATCTTAATTTCATCTGAAAACCAAAACAATGGAGAGCCAAGAATTATGATACTTTTTTCAGCCTTTTATTCACAATTTTGTGATAACTTTATTACATTATGCTGGCAAGTGAGTGTAAACATGATATTTGTATTGTGAGAGATATTTACCACTTCTTGCAAAGTTGCCAACAGCGAGGGCACCACAGAGCTGTAGATGCTGTTCATCACTATCTAACCAGGTCATTGACTCCGAGAATATCTCCCCTTTACCACCGTCAAACAATATCTCCATACTCTTCTCTGAAAATACACAAGAATTATTTACTAGTATTGTTATTCCTTTGTCAAATATCTGACTTATTTCTTGACCCTCTATATTTCTAAAATGGACTTCCAGTTACTTTTTTTTTTTAACTGTTCATTATCAATTTTGGGAAAATCAAGATGGAAAATTTGAAGTTTGTGAACCAACAATATAGAGCCTGGTCAAAGTGCATAGTGTGACTGGGCTGACCTGACTGGTGGCAAAGAATGTTAATTTTGTTTACCTGCTTGATTGATTCACAGATTGATTGATTGATTCATAAGGGATTAATAAGTATACTCATAAATATTATTCTACGTTATGTTAGGCAGAACATATTATACATGTTTCAAAATTTAATGCAAACATTTTTTTACTGAATATCTGACAGAATATTTAATTTCTTCATACAATTTTAAGAAACCATCAATAAAATATCCTGTGAAATGAAAACAATTCATGATTTTCAATTATTTTCAAAGTGTTTCAAGAATTTAATAAGTCATTTCCAAGTATTAAATATTTAATATCCACAAAACAATTAAAATTCTTTCTATTTTAAGCTAATTAGTGTTAAAGCTTTTACTTTCCAAAAGAATTTGTCTACAAAACATTCAATATCCATCAAGGTAAATCAAATTTAATTTTCACAATAATTTATCTACAGTAATTGATACAAATTATTTCTCATTTCTAAGATATGACAATAAATCATAAATTTCAAGTTATCTAATTTTAAATTTACTAACTAAATTTAACCTTATGATAAAGCCTTGACCATATAGAATAACCTTTGTGAAAATCAAGGAAAAAATGTCAGCATCATTAGAAATTTGATAAACTAATTAAACAAATTGCTAAATCCTTGAGGTTCAGCCTCCATCAAATATACACACAAATAAGAAGGATGAACAATTAGTAATTACATGGAAAGGTGACTAAGATAAAAGACTAACAATGCAAAGAATTGGACAGAGCATATAAAGCTTCTCTTTAAAATTGACTTTAATTTACTTCTTTTTGGAGATTTTAAAACGAAAGAAAAAATTTAATTCAATACTGCCTGAAAGATAAATTGTTCTGTTTTGATTTACAATACACTTGGCCTATATCATGAAAACGAACTGAGCATAAATAAGATGTATCTCAAAATTGGCTAATAGCTGCCTATCATGTGACATATCATCAGAAATTGTTGAAATGATAAGTTTCTAATAGAGAGAGAATAATCTAAAAATTATGTGGGTGATATACAGAAAAAAATCCATATCTTCCTTACAGCCATACATTTGATTTAAATCAAATGAGATTAGACAAATTGTCTTGAATAAATTTGTCCCAAAAGCATGAACCACTTTCAGATCTAGAGTTCATAATTCGATGCTGCTTCATCTTCACACTACCTACTGACCTCACAGGGTGTCCTTCCAGTAAGTGTGGAAATGATCTCACTTTCAGTGAGTTACAATATTTTCTCCAGTAAAAGTGAAAACGATCATACCTCCAGTAAGCATGAAAATGATCTTACCTCCAGTAAGTGTGGAAAATGATCATATCTCTAGTAAGTGTGAAAATGATCTTACCTCTGGTAAGTGTGAAAATGATCTTCCTTCAGTAAGTGTGGAAAATGATATTACTTTCAGTAGGTGTGAAAATGACCATAGTTTACCTCCAGTGTGAAAATAATCTTCTCTCTAGTAAGTGTGAAAATGATCTTACCTCCAGTAAGTATGGAAATAATCTTACCTCCAGTAAGTGTGGAAATGATCTTTCTTCCAGTAAGTGTGCAAATGACCATACCTCCAGTAATGTGGAAATGATCTTTCTTCCAGTAAGTGTGAAAATGACCATCCCTCCAGTAAATGTGAAAATGATCTTACCTCCAGTAAGTGTGGTAAATCATCTTACCTCAAGTAAGTGTGGAAATGAGCTTACCTCCAGTAATTGTGGAAATGACCAAACCTCCAGTAAGTGTGAAAATGATCCTACCTCCAGTAAGTGTGAAAATGATCTTACCTCCAGTAAGTGTGAAAATGATCTTACCTCCAGTTAGAAGCAATATAAGAAGATCTGAAGACATCTTCACCTTCTGCTGATTATCTTCACTATATTCTGCGTTCTCACCCAATGTAACTTGAGCCATTTTTATAAGTTGTTTACATAAATCTGTCTGTGCTAACAAATCTTTCACTTCATCTGAAACAAAGAGTTGTTTTTTTTATAAATTAAATTTTGTTGGCCTTTATATCACTGAAAAGTTATATGATTCACTGGTAGGGCAAGACCCTAAGAGGTGCTTCTGTGCATTATTTCAGGCACAAAAATGTTCATCATCAGTACCAGCATCTACATAGGCAAGCTTGATATCCACTTCAAAAGAGAGCATTTGTTCTAATATGAAATGAATTGTTTGCAAGTACTTTGACAAGTATAGACATCTAGTTACTTTTGGAAACATATGTTTTATAACTATTGGCAAATAAAACTCTTGAACTATGATAAAGGAATGACATTACTTCGGGCTTACCCTTTTCCCTTTGCCTTTTTTGTATGATAGATTTTGGGACAGATTGGCACTATCCCAGTAGCATCGATCTGTTAGCTATCAAACGGCAAAATAACTAAAAACATTCCATTTTCTAAATATGTCAAATTGTTACTTGAAATAGAACAGTCAACATTATGGATTTGGGTCGGACGCAAGAATGTGCAGCTGGCCTGCTCTATAATTGGTGGAAAATAGCCATCCGCCAAATCTAAAGGTTTTTCCAAAGCTGGCCCGCCTTAAACAACCTATAAAAAGTAGAGAAACTGATAGCAACAGCATGGATCCTGATCAGACTGCGCGGATGCGCAGGCTGGTCTAGATCCATGCTGGTCGCAAACGCATTACGTTGGTTTTGTCATGGCACGGCTCAAATAAGCTCTATATACATAGGAAGAATAACTTACCCCATTCAGATAAGGTTATGAGTATATCCAGTACTGATTCATACTGGTCTTCTCCAGTAGGTGTTTGCAAGAAGTCAACCATAGATTGGCAAAGATTTGATGCAAATAATTTCTCTTTACACATCTCTGAAAATGTCACATTTAAACATAATGATCTAGTCTAACATTATTATGTTTTAAAGAAAGAAGAAAGAAGTTGATTTCCTGTCAGTTATAAAAATGCTATATATGTACAAATATAAAGTATAAAGTGGGAAAATTGTATTTTGGGAGCTAAAAATTAGTTTCCTGCAACCAATTGATACATAAGATTGGCATTGCAAATAATAAGAAAGTCTGGAAAATAATTTTTAAGAAGATATCAGTTTAAATAACCAGGACTAGTATGAAATTAGAAAACCTATTTGGGATCCAAATATGGCTCATCAGCACAAGATTCCTGGGCTAGTCATCAGACACAACCAGGCCATAACTTCACTTACATTATCTTAATAAAAGCTATTATTCCTCATTGTGAAAATTTTTGTTCAACATACCTGAGTCAGTAAGACTAGCAATTGTAAGAAGAACCATGTTACATAGCCTTTCATCTGTCTCGTAGTTTTTTAAATACTTGGCTATCAGATTCAAGGCATCTTCCTCCAATGCTTTCTTCTGCAGGGTTTCTATGAAAAATAAAATTATCAATGTAGTTTATCTTAAAGATACATTTTGACAAAGAGATGTTTTTCTTTATTATATTTTATATAGTAGACTTCATCTTACATGTTCGCTTTTGTTCTAACGATTGAGCAATTTCATTACTGAGCTCCCAACAGCATAATATGGTTAGTAAACATAATTGTCAAATCAGGACAGATTCAATGTGATCAGATACATAAATGTCAGGAGGACTTGACAAACTCAATCTGTTCTAGACCACACAAATGTCCTGACTGGACAGACTCAAACTGTACTAGATTACACAAATGTCCTGACTGGACAGACTCAATCTGTACTATATAACACAAAAGTCCTTCACTGGACAGACTCAAACTGTACTAGATTACACAAATGTCCTGACTGGACAGACTCAATCTGTATTAGATTACACAAATGTCCTGACTGGACAGACTCAATCTGTACTAGATAACACAAATGTCCTGATTGGACAGACTCAATCTGTACTAGATAACACAAATGTCCTGACTGGTCAGACTCAATCTGTACTAGATAACACAAATGTCCTGACTGGTCAGACTCAATCTGTACTAGATAACACAAATGTCCTGACTGGACAGACTCAATCTGTACTAGATTATACAAATGTCCTGAATAGACAGACTCAATCTGTACTAGATTACACAAATGTCCTGACTGGACAGACTCAATCTGTACTACATGTAGATAACACAAATGTCCTGACTGGACAGACTCAGTCTGTACTAGATTACACAAATGTCCTGATTGGACAGACTCAATCTGTACTAGATTACACAAATGTCCTGACTGGACAGACTCAGTCTGTACTAGATTACACAAATGTCCTGACTGGACAAACTCAATCTGATTAGACCACACAAATGTCCTGACTGGACAGACTCAATCTGTACTAGATTACACAAATGTCCTGACTGGACAGACTCAATCTGTACTAGATTACACAAATGTCCTGACTGGACAGACTCAAACTGTACTAGATTACACAAATGTCCTGACTGGACAAACTCAATCTGATTAGACCACACAAATGCCTTGCTGGACAGACACCAATCTGATCAGACTTGTACACAAATGTCCTGACTGGACAGACTCAATCAGCTGAGACAACACAAATATTTTATTCTGGTCAGACTGCACAAATTTCCAGAAAGAACAGATGTGAAATGTAACATATAGAGATTAAAATTGTCTAGAACATTTGTCCAATTTCATGACTGCAATCATGCCAGAAAGTGATGCATTAGACTGAATGTCACATTCTCATTTTGTATCTAAAGAAAAACAAGATCTGTCAAGGTTATAGGAAATCATTTATCTAAAAACGATCTTTATGTCTAGAATAATTGAAGCTAACTTTATACAGAAATATAGAAAATAACAATGGAGCAGACGCATTAACAATAAATAATAATGATAAGTGACTTTTAAAGCAACCACCAAATGTAGGCGAACCAGTATATATATATAAGTTGGGCTTTTTTTCTTTTCAAATTAATTGTGTTTTTCAAAAACTTAATTTTTCGATTTTCTCACTTTTGACATTCATTTCCAATCCCAAAGTCATAAGCCATTTATATAAACCACCAGAGAATCATCAACCACAACCACTGACATAGTGACATTCACCTTTCAAAGTTTGACAATATTTGACATTTTCTTCAAAACATCTTATTCCTATGGTAATACGCTAATACTCATTTTTTTGTATGATTATTTCCTCACATTCGGAGATAAATGTCTTATGAAAATAAAGCAATCCTGTTAAAACTGTTTATACAAAATAACAGAAAATAAATCTTCAAATCTCTTACATCTCTAAGTAATCTAAATCAAAACAAATATGCATTAATACTTTGTTTACAAGGTCCATGTTTTAAGACACAAGACTTTAGTATGCTTTACTTATAATATTATTTGAATGAAAATATTATATTTTGGAAAGCATTTTGAATTGAAAATGATCATAATGAACTTATTCCATTACTAAACATCTGTTGATCTTTACTATGCCACATTTGACCTTAAATATGACCTTGACCTTGGAGCAAAGGACATATACCAAACTTATTCATGAAGTTGGACATTAATTATGAAAAACAATTGATGTAATAATGAGAAAGATATTGTCTCTTTTGCAATTTTAAAATGTGACCTTGACCTCATAAATTCTATGTTGTACACTTAAATTACAAAATAGAGCACAAAATATTTCACAAATCTATATTTTCTCGATTGCCTGCCTCACGCTTTATTGTATGAAATTATCATTCATCTTCATTTCAAAGAAAAGACTACACAATTGTTAACCATAATGCTTAGAAAGGAGCTTTAATGAGTCTGACATTCAGAATTTATCCTGAAAACTTTTACCTCAGCAGAATTAAAATGAAGAAATGAGAAAGAATGACTGTAATGTAGTAAATCTCCACAAACAGCTAATATGTTTCCATTACTCAATCCTCGAACATAAAGTTAATTAACTTTTTCCTTGACTAAAACTTGGCACTAAAGCAAATCTCTCTAAGTAGGTAAAAAACCGATTTCACCAGGCATCTTGTACAATTCCGATTAACAGAAGCACAACAGAAGCAGTCAAATTTTAAGTATCAAGTAGAAGAAAAATGCTTCCTGTTCAAGTTCCATGAATTCTAAACCTTCAATTATGAGAAAATACTGATAAAATGAAATATTTGCAAAAGTGTTAAAATTGGGTTAAACTTTTAGAAAACGTCCAGTTTTGAGAATTAAGTAAATATATTTCACATTAGTGTTATGGGGAGGGGGGGACTGTGGATTAAGTTAGGATAAAAGCTTAGAGATTAGGAGATAGGAGCATCCTGATATATGTAAACCTCGCCCCCACTCCCAACACCCTAACAAGAAGTTTCAATCCAATCCAGTATCAATAGGGAAGCTAAGTAGGGGCATAATCAACTAAATGTATATCAGGTATCATAAGATAGAAGACTAACCAGGAAGAGTAAAAGATGGATACATTTTTAAAGTAGCTCATCATGACTTGGGATAAATTTTAAGTAATTATAATCTGGTGAACATTCCAGGCACTTGAACTTTTAGTTTAAACATATTTATTTAAGCTCGATTGCGAAATAAGTCCTTGCAACTTATACTAATCACTTTCGAGTCCGCTTCCTGGAACCAACCAGTACTGGTGTCATATGAAGAAACATGGTTGTGACCCGAGTAGGGCTCGAACCCATGATCTTTGGGTTGAGAGGCAGACACCTTAACCACTAGGCCACTGCTACCTTTAAACTTTTAAAACTTAAACTTTTAAAAACTATATTAATTTTATGAACATTCAACTCTATCGCAAAAATTTAATCATTTCTAATTTTGTCTTGTATTTGGTTTTATAGATTTTGCTACATTGCCAATTGACACTCTAAGCCTGCTAGCAGCTACAGAATCTATTATCCAGTGCTACCAGTGCAGGCCTAAATCAGCCAGCACATCTGTGCCGCCTGACCATGGTGGTGCTGCACTGCTCACTTTTAAGTCAATACATACCAAAATGTTTTTGGAATTTTCCTCCAATAAGATTTAAAAATACTTTTGCCTAAATTGAAAGAGGGACAGGTCCATTTAAGATATCTATCAAGGTAAGGCTTTATGTCTGAAACACAGTTCATCATTTTCATGATGAAAATCTCAGATTAATCAAATACATGTACATCATTCCTTTCTTCCTACATTGTATTGAACTAGTTTTTAATTAACGAAAAACAAAAGACACAAAATTAGATTTGCCCACGCAAATTAAAGAAAGAAGTTAATCATTATGACAAAGTTTCATAACGTTGCTATAGTCGTTGATTTATATTGTAAGAGATAATTAAGTTATCATTACTCCTCTGAAATGAGGCACGTTTGGCATTCATGCCAATCAAATGTTTTAATGTTTGCTATCTATTATTCTGGTGTTGGCTTTCCTTCAAAAATCAATGTTCGGCCAGGAATCAGGATAATGCCGGGATGCTTGTTTACAAATTCTATACGTCAACCACTTTATTGGAATCACTTGATTGTTCTTGCATTTGTTTGGCTTTAGTTTGAAGTATTTTTTATTATTAAAGCTCAATTGTTGTGAAGAAACCTTGTAGCTTATTTGAAACAACTCTGCTTTCTGGAACTAACCAGTTCTCAGATGTTACATGGTGTCTTATGTGGTAACATGGTTGCCACCCAACTAAAGTTCAAACTAATGACCAATAGGATGAGAGGCTGCGACACCTTTATCACTAAGCTACAGCATGCTCCCCTTGTTTGGCTGTAATTGTCAGTTTTAACAGTATGTTCAGAATAAATACTAACAATTAATTAAGTAGTTATCTAATAAAAATCTTTAGAAAAAAAATCTCCACATGTAAAATTTAATGCAAACTTCTCCACCACTGTCACATTTCTAATCACTTATGAGAAATTGAGGGAGAAATGTCTTCAAACATCAATAAAACCCATTCTATTAATCTAATAGTATTCCTAGTAAGCTAAAGTAACATAGGCAGAAGAATCAATTTAAAGCCGTATTTAGAGATTTGTCCTTATTCTTTGAAAAACTGGAAAGAGTAAAGACTGGTAAAACAAAACCAGCAAACCAGGTTAAAGCTGCATGTCTCCACATGAGCCAAAATATTTCAAGAAAAATTACCCTTGAGAAAAAGCTACTAAGATTTTAAGAAAAGTAAAATATTCACAATTAAAGAAATAATTTACATGCAAAGTGTCATTTATGACTGCTTTTGCAGTATCAATCACCATATTTCTATTGTGTGACTAACACAGTTAGGGCTATATTTGCAAATTCTTACCTATTTTGATAATTTTTGTAGATTTTAAGTGCTATTTGTAATATGTAAATTACTTTCTTTGTTCATTAAAAAATTTTGACAATATTTTACTGATCTATAAATTAAACAAATTTTTATGAAAATTAGCATGACATTGGAGGCATGCTACTTTAAGAGCTAATGTAAGTTACATATTATTCTTTAACTCACCATTACTGTTAGTAAGATTGAGAAGAAATCCACATGCTATAGTCCTCAGTTTGTCCGTGCCACTTTTGGTGTTACCTAGCAGGGAATTTAGTAACGTCAGCAATATAGAAATACCGTCATCCTCGTCTACCTTTGCTCTACCAATATCTGTAAGATAATTAGTCAAAATTATCACAACAGTCAGACTTATCAGTCATAATGTCAAAAAATATGAATATGACCAACAAAAAAATTGCCAGTTAAAATATATCTGCACAAAATTATCTGCAAAAGAAGAGTAAGTCAAAATTGTCAGCAAAAAAGCAGCCAATTTTAAGCAAAATTGTCAATAATTGTTTCTTGTTTGTTTTTTGTGTGCAAAATAATCAATAACACAACTGCAAAACAATTTTCCATTAATTCTTTAATTGCTTTTTCTGTAACAATGCCTCTTATTAATTTTATGACAAATTCTTAGTTTTACTGATGTTTTTTTGTTTGTTTCATTTTACGCCTTTTTCCAATAGTATTTCAGTCATATAGGCGGGTTAGTTTCCTAACCATCGTTCCTGGAGAGTTACACCAATACTAGACTACCTTCCTCCGCACTAAACTACCAAAGCATCTCCCAGGGATCGAACCCACGCCAGAGAGGTAACTGGATTAGAAGTCATCGACTCTAACCCCTCGACCACGAAGGCGGTTATTTTACTGATGGACTCAGTTAAGGGATGAGCTGTCACCTGAGGTAGAACCACCATTCTTCCATAATATTGAATGGGTATCTGGATACAATTTCTGGAAAATAAGTTTACTTTGATCCCCTTCCTACTGTGGTGAGAGTCAATCATTTTAACCAGTACCTAGCCATAAATGCCCTTTACAAAATAATAGTGCCAAAAAATTGGACAAAATAATCAGATTTCTTTGATCTTCAAAAGCTGACCAACCATCAAAATACATGTACTCGCAAAAATATTAAGATGTTATGTAACATATTGATCACCATTCCTTTTTTTCTTCTCTCTCTCTCTTTTTTTTTTTGGTTTGAATAATTTTAGTGCATGAGAGACTCCCTGTTATGTTTGGGCATTTAGTTTTTCCATAAATTCCCAAGTTACAGATAGGTTTGATTGCATTGCAAACATTTCGAGAACGTTCAGAACTATTATCAAAAGAGATCCTAAACATTGAGAACAGATTGAATGCAGACATGTCTGCAGCTTGATAAACAACCTCTCTCTCTGTCTTGTAAGATTATAAATTTCAGGTTATTTTACACAACTCACAGTACATATTTCAATCAACAGAAACTATCTCAATTTCTAAATAAATGGTAAGATGGTATTTTTATGGGACAATTAAATACAAATATATACTAACTCAATTGGTTCAAAGGTTTATTCCCTAAATTTGATCATTTGTAGAGCATTAAAACACATGTCTGAAATACATATGATTTACTTATTGGTTTCTCCATCTCAACTTACTTTAAGTTACACTGGCTTATAGTAGATATAACAAAAAAGAATGGCCAGATATGAGCAAAAACCCTTTAACATTCTTGTTTGAGCAAAAAACCCTTGAACATCCTTGAATGAGCAAAACCTTTGAACATTCTTGTATGAAGTACAGTATGAGCAAAACCCTTGAACATTCTTGAATGTCAGCAATAAACCTTAAACATCCAAGTATGACTGGACAGAAGTCTCATTAAACAAAATCAAAATGTATAAAACCATTGACTGCATAGAAACATGAGATAAAGTGATGTGATGATTGTGAGGAATTCAATACATTGATGAGTTTATTCTGCTCTTGCAAACATCAGACAAATGTCTCTGACTACTGCTATTGACGTATCATATATCAGCCTAAAGACAAATATTCACTTTGAAGAAACGCTTCAAAACAAATTAAGTTTATTCAATGAACTAGCACAGCTTGCGATTTCTGTCTGCTATAATGTAAATTCTAAATATATGAGTTCTTGCAGACAAGTTGTACTTAGATTATATTCTGAAAACATTAGAGACTATATGTTTATAGAAACTACAGCAATAAATAAAACATTTCTTAAATGGGCCTGTCTAGTGTCCCATTGCTTATTGTCTGTGGGAGTACTAGTGTATATCTTTACAATATTTATATTCTTAATATAATCCATACAGTCTGTCTCCTTGTGCTTAAAAGGGAACACATAATACAATTTTCTGTTCTGTTTGATGTTAGATTTCCTATATATTGTTTAAGTATTATGGTCACTTTTAACATATTAAGGAAGAACTCTACCACCCAATATTGCCTCTCCATGCACGGTTTCATTCATAACTGGCAAGGTTTGTCATTAAAGAGTCAGGTGGGGGCCAAAATTACCATCTCAAAAGCATTTTACTAAGAAAACACTCTCTGTTGCACATGTATAATGGATAAACCAAAAAATATCTGCCTCAAATTCAAAATGGACCGTCTTAGTAAAATTTCAATAACAACCCTGGACCCGATCAATAAGTGTGACCTGAACATAGAGGATCTTATACAGGCTAGATAGTGTCTACTCCACAAGAATAATTTATATCAGCATGCATTTTTCATTTGTTTTGTGTTTTAAAGAATTTTCAAGCTTTACTGCTGGAGAAAGACCTAAAGTGACCCCTGGTGAATTTAATATACATGTATATAAATACTGGTATAAAATATACAGATGACACCTGAGTATTAACATTATAATTTGCATTTTGCAGTCAGTCAAAATTTCCACACAAATCACTGGAATACTTATTAACTTGTTCTTTTCATATTAAATCATAATTGTGTAACAATATGTTAGATTATCTATTATCTAACCATAAACACTGGTTATCTATTTTCCATGGTCAACTATCATGACAAAAAGAAATAAACTATACTGGGAAGAGTCTGACAGGATAAAAAGTCTTCGCAAAATAATCAGAAGATAACTGTCCACAGTGAGACGATAAGACGTTTGCTCCATCAATTAATCGAACTTCAACTCCCTGTGGGCTCAATAAATGCCAGCCTAGAACACAGCCATTTCCTAGAAATTGACATTCAGTTTTCTTCTTAATTCTTATTATACAGTGTTTAAGCAGACATGAAAAAAGCAATCATGCTTTATTGCTTGTCTGTCTATAATGTAAATTATGTCTTAGCACTCCTCAAACAAAGGGTACATAATCTTTCAAGGGTCCTTACAGACAATAATGACAGAGCAATTTTTCTGATTACGAAACAAAACAAACATAAAATGTTTTTTAATGGGACTCAACTTAGTTTTTTGACATAAACAGATCAAAAATATTTTTTGAAGATTTTTTTATAATTGGATGTAGGCCAACATAATGTGTACAAAATTTCTGATCATTCCCAGGAATTATCAATTTCAATGTGCAAATTGACCCCAAAATGAAAAGGCAGTGCAACATTTTTCATCCAAACCTGCCAAAAAATTGGATAAAAATTGATTATCAATTTAATACCTTACCAAGTAAATTTCTATGTTATCAAATGCAAAGTTTTCAAAGTTAAGTTTAAGAAAAAATTAAAAATTTTATGATTTCAGGCTATTGAACCTCAGTGGAGTTCCTTTAATTATTTTCCATACACTTTTTTATACAATTCAAAGAAGAAGACATGTCACAATGATGAGCTGAAGGTTCACTCTTTTTAACCCTTAACCCTTTCCCCCATGAGCATATTGTGAAAAATGGCCATTTTCACTGAAAAGCCTCCTCTCACAAGTTCAAACTGCTATGAAACTATGAAAAATGCTTCAATACTAATCAAACTTGGCACAAATGTTGACTGGACCATTGCCTTTGTAACGACATGCTCAGTCTTAAATTTCCTGTTACCATGGCAACGAGGGGACATCTCAAAATTGCCAAAAATCACTTTTTTGCCTCGATTTTTTCTATCAAAATTTATCTCAAAGTGCTGCAACTTCTCAAGGGATTGAGATAGAGTCAAAGGCTTTTCAGCGTTGGTTACACGTTATCTTATGATCGACCTGGGGTCATTTAAAGCCTCTCACAAGTCCAAAATTTTCTTGGCGATGAGGGGGACTCCGCCCCCCTTCAAACCCCCCAAACAGAAGGGGGCGCATCCTCCTTCTGGCAACCCCCTGATGTAATATTTGGATGGGGGACTGCGCCGAAAAAATGGTCAATTTTTTTAACAACATTTCTCAAACGAAAAACAGTGTTTGGGGCCTAAATAGGGCATTTTTTCACTGTTTGAGGCCTCAAAAAGGGGGGGGGGGGGCAAAAAGCCGTCGAAACACGCTTATATAAGGGAAAAGGTTAACCTGCAGGAATCAATAGTTGTTAACCTTTGCCACCAGCATTAAAGAGCCAGGCAAGTCTGTACTCACATGCAATCTGACCTGGCTCTATACTGTTGGCTGACCAACTTTTAACTTTATATCATAAACCCTAAAATTGTTTTAAACATGGAAGTTGGACAAGTCCAATTAAGAAATTCCGCAGGTTTAGGGTTAAATATATATCAACATTCCAAAGACAAACTATTCAGTCACAAAGACTAGTATGTTAAAATATACAAAGTTAAGTGCAATGCCTTAAAAGTCCGCAAAAACCTATGAACATGTACATGTATCACACGGTCCCCATATTAATGAAACAGTGCCAGAATTTTTCCAACTTAAGGCACAAAACATCAAATTAGGGCTGACTCTAATGCAAGTTTTTGTAAACCATTATTAATCCAATAAAACACTGACAAGATCTTTTCTAACATAGTGAACGGATACGGTTTATATCTAAATGTCCTCAATCACATATATATAGCTGAATGAACACAAGGAAACAGCAACATTACTTTGTATAATTCTGAATAGAAATCTGTTTATTTAAACATGTAACAAGTAATAGTACCAAATGCTGTTGCTATTTTACATACGTCACTAATGAAAAGGCAGTATAAGAGGCATTCCTATATCAGTAAAATGCTTTAACTTTATTTTAGGAATAACACATTTTATTTTTGGAATAACATAATTATTTTATTTTAGTCGCTCTTTTGCTATCCTAAAAAAATTACTATGTAGAGGGTTAGGCAAACAAGAACATCATCATTGGGAAGTTCAAAAAGCAAGTTGTTGACACAATTCAAGAATATTCCCTTAATGTAAACAAGAGCTGTCTAAAGGAAGGGCACTCTCTAATATATGAAATTGTTTTCCAAGAAATGTGGAAATATAACTGAAGAAGTGATATTTGTTCAATAGCCAGATTAACTGACATGGCTCTGTTAGGAAACAGTAAACTACAGGCATGTATCTTGAAGATTTTTTGTTTGTCTAAAAGTATTCTGCCAATCAGAGCACAAATTGCAGTATTCTGCCAATCAGAGCACAAATTGCAAAGGATACAACATGTCCACATTACTTTCACTTGAAATTACATATAGTATATTGCAAAACTAAAGTACATAAAAGTTACTTTCACAGAATTTTATCAATACATATACACCTTAGGGCTCTACAAGACTGTATTTATTATCATTACTCTCACATACCATAACAAAAGCTATATTTCATAGGGCTCACAATACTATCACTTACCGTTATCAAAACAAATATTTCCAAGAGCACGACAAGCCTGTGTCATTCTATCTATATCATCTTGCCTCTCTAGCACTTTCAGTAGAATGGGAATAAAACCTTTCTCGACACACGGCACTCTAACAGATTCTGAAATATACTAGTGAACATTAAATTACACATAATTATAATACAACCATTGAAAGGAGTGGTGGCCTTGTAGTGAAAATGTTTGTCTCTCAACCCAGGGATTGTGGGTTTGAGTCCAACTTGCTTAACCCATGGATCCTAGGTTTGATCCTACTCGTTCATAATCATGTTCCACATATGACACCAGTAATCATTAAATGATCAGTGCAAGGAAGCAAACTCCAAACTAATTTATATATAAATAGCAAAAACTTGTTCCACAATAGAGCTTTAAAATATATCTCAAATAAAACTCATCATTAGAATCATATCAAACATAATGTTCATTCCTATCAGACACAGTTAAATCAACATTTAAGTTCAGAACAAAAAAAATGCATTTCAATTCACAAGAACAAGATGTATTTAAATTCACAACAACAATATGCATTTAAATTCACAACAACAAGATGCATATAAATTCACAACAACAAGATGCACTTCAATTCACAACAAGATTCATCTGAAAATTTTTTTTTTGCTGAAACAGATTCTAATCAATTAGCAAAACTAAATGTCAGCTGAACAAATTCAATGGTACTATTAGCAATTAAAGTAATTAATTCAGGTCTATGTGCACTACGTAAAACATTCCAATATCAAACACAATAGGTACTTCTCTTCTAAACAGCCAATTCATTCTAGACTACTGTCATAACAGTAAGCATTCCACTTTCAATTACAAAGCTTTGGCATTCCTCCTTTAAACAGAATATGCATTCCCCTTTTCAAACACATGTATTCCACTTTTCAAATACAATATGCATTCCCAATTAAAACACAATATGCATTCCCCCTTCAAACACAATATGCATTCCCCCTTTAAACACAATATGCATTCCTCCTTTCAAACACAATATGCATTCCCCCTTCAAACACAATATGCATTCCCCTTTCAAACACAATATGCATTCCCCTTTCAAACACAATATGCATTCCCCTTTCAAACACAATATGCATCCCCTTTTCAAACACAATATGCAGGGCCTTTTTACCTTCTATAACAGGGGCCGGTATAGGGCTGCTTCCCCAAAGAAAATTTCTTTAAAATCATGCAGTTTTCCCCCAAAATTAAATTTACATCAAGTTTTTTCTTCCCCTTTTGCAAATATACCATATAATTTTTCCCCAAAATTAAGGACTGGGCTGCTTCCCCAACCTGTGAAAAAAAGCCCTGATATGTGTTTCACTTTCAAGAACAGTAATCATTCCAACATTTGCAAACATAAGATTGCAATTGCATTCCACTTTCAAATAGTCACTATCCCAACTGTAAAGGCTGTCAGTTATTGTTACTTTTTGTATGCCAAATTATTTACGTAGGTGTCCACTTATGTGCTGCAAATTCAACTAAATACATTATACTACTGATAATCTACTTTCAAACAAAGCATGTCAGTTTCAAAGACAAGTATTGATATTCTTCTTTCGAACAAAACATATCATTTTCAAACACCGGTATTGATAATCTACTTTTGAACAAAACATGCCATTTCAAACACAGGTATTGATAATCTACTTTCAAACAAAACATGCCATTTCAAACACAGGTATTGATAATCTACTTTTGAACAAAACATGCCATTTCAAACACAGGTATTGATAATCTACTTTCAAACAAAACATGCCATTTCAAACACAGGTATTAATAATCTACTTTCGAACAAAACATGCCAATTCAAACACAGGTATTGATAATCTACTTTCGAACAAAACATGCCATTTCAAACACAGGTGGAGTCCCACTTTCATGCACATATAACATACAAAAGAAGTAAACTGGTAAAGCTATTATACACATCTGTTACACAAACCAAAGCATCCATTTCATTTCTAACAAATGGCATTGCAATTTATGATTAAGAAATTTTAAATCAAAACAACCAACAACAAAACCTTACCATTTTTTGCTAGCTCAGCAAGAAGTTGACCAACAGATGCCAGAGTATCTTCATCTCCAGATACATTTATTAGATCATCTAGTATACCCTCACTTGTTAACCTTTCAGCTATGTCATCAGTTTCTTCTTCTAAAATAAAAGATTTCTAACATAAGCCAAATTATACATAAAATAAGGTTACTTTTTAAATATCAAGAGAGGTCTATTGTGAGTTTTCAACTTTCAAGCTTAAAGTGAAATTATGCTCATCAAACAGTATATAGTGAGTAAACACATGGAAGTCAAAGTAAGTTTACAATTTGCCATAATTCCTTTTAATTCTATAATTTTCTTCACATGAATGAAAAATAAGGCACATTGCCCATAGAAATTTCTGTAAATGTACATCAGAATAACTGATTTAACTTGTAATGTTTATTTTATAAAAAAAAAGTTGAACAGTCAGTTAGAGTGTCCGTTTGACCCTTGAAATAACTCTTTTACCCTTCAAATTTCCAAAAGGCCCAATTTGACCCTCAGGATTTTAGCTGGAGGGTCAAATTTTGTTAAAATCATGGGAATTTGGCCTTGTAGTTGGTAAAACTTAGTCAAAATGACCCTCAGGATTTCGTGGCTAGTGAACACCCTCAGTAGCCTAAACATTTTCCAGTATCAACTGTTGGTGAATAGCCATAATAACAGTCAATCTTAAGATTGAAATATAAAGTTAATTCATCTTAACTTGGCAATGAAAAAAAATGAACAAAGGGTCACTTAAATACATTGTATTGGCTTCACAGACATGTTAATGATAAACATAACTGTAAAATCATCTGTATCAGGCTTTGCCTCTAATGGAAAGTCCATGGTTTAAAAAATTCACTTCCATTAATTTAGTCTAATTAATTTGATATGGGTGGTTTAACATATAATTACAGGCTATTTCCCTACTGTCAAACCATTTAGAAAAGACAACACCTGAATGTCTCTTTCACATTGAAGTCTAATTCATTAGACTGTAATTAATTCATCAAAATATCAAATAATCTCACCTTTTTGAGTGCCCTCAAATACATCGAGTATACTATTAATTGCCTTGACTTTGTCCGTCTTACAATTTGCTGCTCTCAAGCATTCTAACATAGGTGATATATCTGTAAATGAACAAACATTCATTGATTTAATTCACTAATTTAAAATATTAACTTATGTATAAAAGCACAGTGTCAAGATGATCTTTTTTGTTCAAGTTATGGCATTGCCGATGTTGGTCCAAATATGTTAAACTTATAACTATTAATTTCTAAGCATATTGAAAACTAGAACTCCGCAAGTCGAATGTGTCACCTTGTGAACAGTTTAGCAATCACTTAGGCACTTTCTTCTTAAATATATGTAATGCAGGAAAAAATGTTCAAAAAGTGACCCTTTGATGGTCCCCAAACAGTAGTTATTATGAACTTTGTTATAGTTTTACAAATAAATAAATATGTAAAAAAAACAGTTGCCATTAATATGCGAGCATGCCAATATTACTTATCTTCGGTTCCCTTGATGGTCAAATCAGATGTGTTTATTTTGCCAATACACATTTAAAGCTACATTTAATTAATTTCATAAAAACAGAAAAAGCGACATTTCATTAATAAATTGGGTTTCATATCCACTCTAGATCTTATTTTGTGTCAGAACAACCAAAATGAGTTTTATAAGCATAAAAATCTGCAACCTCATTGTGGCAAAATAAGAAGTACAATTCCTGTTTGCATGAGAAACTCTGCCTTTGGATCATTTGTACATCAATATTAAATCAAGAAACGTGGTGTTATAATTTTTTTAGATCAAACTAAGGCTTTTGATAGGGTAGAATGGGATTGGCTTGATATCTGCTTAAAAAGGTATGGTATAGGAGACAAATTCAGAAAATGGGTTCAAATGTGTTTAGTCGGCTCGGAAACAGCTATACAAACAAACGGGTTTATTTCTGAATATTTTCAAATTTCCCGCTCTATTAAACAAGGTTGTCCAATAGCGCCGTTTCTCTATATCCTACAAGCAGAACCAATGGCTTGTGCAATCAGAAATAATATTGATATACACGGCATTAAATTGCCTTCGTTAAATGGCTATGAGCTTGAATTAAAAGTATGTCAATTTGTTTACGATACACAATTTTTTTGTGAGAATAAGTCTTCAGTTCCAGAAATATTTACTTTAAAAGAATATGAAATTTCCTCTGGGGCCAAAATGAAAAAGGATAACAGGCATCTTTATTGGAAAATCAAAAGAAAGGACTCCGAAATTTAAAGATATAAAATGGACGAGAAATTATGTTAAAACTTTAGGAATTTGTCACGGCTATAATATAGATACGAATGAAATTTGGATGAAAAAGATAAACAAAATTAAAAATTGTCTTCAAGTATGGAAAGCTCGGGGCCTGACTTTAAAGGGAAAATTCTTGTTCTGAAAACATATGTACGTAGTTTCTATTATTAATTTTGAAATTGAAACGCGCGGTATACCGACAAAATGCATAGAAGAAATCGAAAAAATTATGAGCGATTATCTTTTGGACAATAAGCGACCGTTAGTTTCAAAAAGCACAATTCTCCTTGACCTGAAAGACGGAGGTCTTAACTATTGTAATGTTTCAAATATTCAAACCAGTTTGGATGTTAAAACAATATACAAAATTATACACTCTGACATACAGAACTGGAACGCAATAGGAAAATATTTTTTACAAAAATATGATACTATTGGAGAAAATAAAATTGATTATTTTCTGTGTAAATGTTCTTCATTAGAAAATTTACCTTTCAAATTGAACATAAGTACGTTTTACAACCCCGCTCTCGAAAATTGGTGTCGGTTTAAAGCGAAGTTTAAGCCAAAGTCTCTGTCCGATGTAAAAGATATATTTCTTGTTGTAACACTGAAATTCGTTTTCGCAAGAAAACACTTTACTTCAATTCATTTGTAAAAAGTAATATATTGTTTTTAAAAGATATTTGGGACTTTGAAAATAATAATTTTATTAGCATAGACACTCTTTTAAGGAAATTAAAATGTAAGCGAAACTGGATTGCCGAATGGCATATTCTCAAATCGAGCATTCCTAAAATGTATATAACTGCTTTAAAAGAACATCATTATGAAACAGTGTCGAATTACACTCACTTAGATGATATTGTCTTAACGAGCAAGACGCAAACAAAAATATTGCCTGAAAATATTACAATAAAACAAATATCTCATATATGGAATCAAAAGACTGGTAAATTAAAAAGTGAAAGTAAATGGGAAACCCTACTTAATATGGAGTTACCATGGAGTAAAATATGGTGCCACGTTTATGATTCTTTTTCTTCATGCAAAGCTGTACAATTTCAGTGGAAATTTTTACACAATGTTATTTATACAGAACACAAGCTGTCTCTTATGAATTTATCTGACGGTAAATGTTGTATATGTAAATCTCACAGAGAAACTTTGTTTCATATCTTCTGGGAATGTGATTTTTCTAAGAATGTTTGGACATGTTCTTCAAAAACTTAAGTCCGCTAAAATTTTAGAAAATGATTTTTTTTTCATATTTCCAATCTACTGCAAATTTTAGATCTTTTGAACACGAAATTAATGATAAATTGATCAACACTGTAATATTCGAAACTAAATGGGCAATATGGAAATATCGTATCAATTGTAAGCATAATTATCCATATCAATCAATACCTATTTTGTTAAGAAATTTGTTTAATGTTCAAAAAAATAAAATACCAGTTTGAATACAAATGTAAAAATAAAGACGATTCAGTGACAGAAATTATAAAACCATAAAATGTTGTTATTTGTATGAATATTACCTTTAATGTATGGGACGCAACTCAATTGAAATTATAAATTTAATTCATAACGAGTTAACTAGCTTTTCAACCTTATCATTTTTCGCTTTTTCGGACAAGTAATGATACGTTTGCGAATTGTATATTTTTCACATTATCTATACTGATTCTTATTTTGTAAGAAATCAATATATATACTTGTATTATTGTAAGGCTGATAGGAGGATGCTCCTCGACCCCTATTATGCCAATGACGGGGAAAATAAATGGGGTTACCCTTAACTGGGCGCCCGAAACTGAAAAAAAAAAAAAAAAAAAAAAAAAAAAAAAAAAAAAAAGAAACGTGGCTTTAAGTAGCAAGTCCTATTTTAACAATATATTTCCTCATTGTAACAGTCGTTTTCATACAAATTTAATCTTTTTCATCAGATTACTTTTTCTGAACAACATGCCTAATGCAAAGCTAAAACAGTTAAAGTGTGTTTGCACAAGAAAATCTCATGTTTGTTGTGTTCCAGATAGCAAAAATAACACTGTGATGTCTTTATTTACATGTTAACATTCGTATACGAACTTTGGTGTATCCATGGGGTTTTCCGTTTAAAATCAAAACTTATGAACAATATTTGATGAGATTTAAATCTGTACTGTTAAAAAGGTGAATGAAACTGTAGAATGCTTGGTTTTAAGGCAGACGGCAAAATATTTTTACATAGATATTTATTAAATGCAACTTTAAAAGTTTCACATAATTGTTTTAGTTGTCGATCCATACTTAACACCCTGATACATGACTGCATACAAATACTTATCATATTATTAAATTCATGCATGATGCAAAAGTGTATTATACTGAAACTGTACAGTACATAATTATACAGTGCCTATTATATTACTGATAAACACTGCAAGTTAGGGATACAGAAAATTATAAATATGACTTTCTATTCCTGCAAAAAATACAGATCATAGTCAATATCATATCTTTTGTAATGATGGTGCGTTCCTCGGAGCAGATTTATGTTACTGAACATCTACATGCTCCGAGTTTTCACAATAATCAATTTCAAAGCAAAAAATTATCAGCACTTAGTTTGTAACCTTGTTCATTATTGTCTGGTGCAAAGAAAATCAGAACTTACAAATGCTGTTATTCAAAGGCATAAATTTTGTTAAAGCATACGTACCCATTATTTCAATATAGGAAAGTATAGATCTAGTGTCTTTGCGTATCACATGTGGTTTAAACTGACAGCTCCTGTCATTTTACCGGAAGTATACACCGTGAAACCTAACAACTGCATGCAACCACAAATTCAATTATTGCGCGAAACATGAATTATGAAGGAATATTTGATGAACATGAAAATTATTATGAAACAGTACATTTGATTGAGATGCAATCTTCTAGTGTATTTAAATCCCTTCAGTATTAAACTTTCCCATTAAAAATAGCAGAATTACGTGATCTTCGAAAAAGTAGTTCTGTTGACAAAAAAATCGAAAGGAAATTTTCTTATTTCCGTATACAAAAATTTGAAAAATAATTGCATCAGAGATAACCAAATTGATACATATATTAAACAATGATTATCATTTTCTTGATATAAAAATAGCTTTAGAACAACAGGAACACCAAAAGTCATTTCATTTATTAATTAGCATCACCCAACCTTTACGAATATTATCCATAACTCCTTTCGGTCAAACAGGTAAATTTCATGGCGGTTTCGGAATAGTTAGGATGAATTTTTCAGTGACTTTAAATGGAGGCTCACCCTGGGGATTTCGGCTTCAGGGTGGAAGGGAATTTAATGAACCAATCCGTATTGCCAAGGTATATTAAATATTTAAATTTTTATGTTTTGAAATGTTGTTCTTCCCTAATTACTTTGAAAGTTTCTAATGTGTCAGAAATGACAGGAATCTGGTGACCTTTGACCTCAGTTCCGGTAATAAGTTGTTGAAGATTTAGGAAGTAAGAACTTATCCGACAGCATGTGTCAGCCTCTTGATACTTATTCTTGTTACAATGTCATATGTTTTTAATTTTCCCACAACAGGTAGATTTACCTGGTCTTGTTGATTTGTTTTTGAAACATTAAAAAGTTTATAAAAACTCCATTCAATTAAAATTTAAATCTGAGTATGGGGGATCTCTCCATTGTTTCCAATTTGAGAGACACTGGTTTATCTAATACTTTATAAATAGAACCAATACTTTATTACAATAAAAATATAAAGCTCTATGTATTTGGACATAATGGTTTAATTGCATGCCTATCTTATTATTATAACAGTTATAACTCAAACAGAAAGCCTTGTGCTGATGCAATTAGTGATTTTCATTTAATTTAATAAGTCTTTAGAAAAGATGGCCCATATTAAATTATGGTCCATAGTTATATGTATAAATGAGCCGCGTCATGACAAAACCAACATAGTGTGTTTGCGACCATCATGGATCCAGACCAGCCTGCGCATCCGCACAGTCTGATCATGATCCATGCTGTTCGCTTAAAAACCCTATAGTAAGTAGAGAAACTGATACTGATAGTGAACAGCATGGATCCTGATCAGACTGTGCGGATGCGCAGGCTGGTCTGGATCCATGCTGATCGCAAATGCACTATGTTGGTTTTGTCATGATGTGGCTCATATTTTATTGTCTGAGTTTAGATTCTTTTTCTCTTTGCACTTCCCAGAGGACAGAATGGGCTAGGTAACTTTTTACTGGATAAGAAAGTTCACCACATAACCTTTATTTATTAGTGATAAAATATTTGTTTAATTGATATTTTTATATTTATATGATTATTTACTGTCATATGCTTGTTATCTGCGATAAAAAAAATAATGAGGTCACTAGATACATATATATGTAAATGATTTACAAACATAAAAAGGTAAACTTTTCTATATCATTTATGTCTCTAAGTAGATTGTATATATAATTTCCACAGTAGACTATACATATTATTTACACATATACAGTAGAAAACTATTCTCCAATATGCTCCACTGAATTTTTTGTTTGATGAAGTTCATTTGTTGAACTGTCAGTATCATCTTTTCATTTTTATAAGCTCTTTCTCTGATTCTCATACAGCTTTCATAAAGGTCATTGAGTATAAAGAGTCCTTTTAATATTAAGAGATTTCTATTTGTATTATATATGTCATTGTTTAATCTCCCAACCTCAAATTCTCTTTCAAGTATTTTCATGAACCTTGTGTTTGATATAGACTGTGCAAAATATATATGTGGCACTTCAGTATCAGTTTAAGGTCAATGTCACATTTGAAGAATTATGTCATGTTTTAGTCTTAATATGTTGCTCTTAATTTTTTTCCCTGAGCATGGGAAGGAATTGCTTTACTACAAGCTTAACTCATATGCAGACAGTGACTAGTATACATGTAAAAATAATAATGTAACCTTGACTGTACCAGCTAAGGTCAAGGTTATAACCTTAATTGTGAAGGTTTAAATGTGAATTGTGTTGTCATCTTGTGTTCTACATGTAGTTGTGTCAGAATACTTTTTGTTAAAATGAAGGCAATAGTTTAGCCCCTGGTGCAAAGTCAGACCAGCTTTAAATCAGTTTGACCAAATTTCTAATTGTAATAATGTTAGCTGCTCAAATTTAGTAATTTAAAATTTGTTATTGTGGCCCCTTTAATCAACAGTGGGAACTTCCAAATTCAAAGCAGGACAGGTCTATTACACAAATTCAGCAGGGCACAGTATATTAAGATTAATTTTGATACACAATGCAAAAACATAATTTTATTTGATTACAACTTTTTCCCTACACTCATTATGTCCTGCTTTTAGGGTTAAGCCCGACTAATAGTTTTCTCACTGGCCAGTGTTTAGGTGGTGCAATTATTTAATAATCTTTTCAAAATTAATACATATTATTCACACTTGATAAATTTTTTGAAGTGGATTACGATCAGATACTTGACCCGATAACACATACCATTTAATAGATATTTTAAATGGTATTAAGATAAACTTGTTACCTATCAGAGTTATAGATAACAATGATCTGTATAATAGATCACATTGTATTGCTACAATTTTCTTCGGCTGATATCGAATTTCTGATTAAAATCATAATATTAATATTCCAAACAAAACAGGTTTTTTTCATAACAGAAATTTATCAGTATTATATTTAAATTTAAAAATTCTATTCATCCAATACATTCAAGTTCAACATAAAAGATCTGAATCTGTTCATTTAAAATTTAAAAATCCGAGCATAAACCAGTTAATCAAATTTGATGAGTCATAGCTTTCAATGAGCAGCTATTTTGTAAGAAGTATGATAATAGTTTCCATAGTGATATTTTTAAAAAAGGTATTTAAAGTTGTATTAATTCAATATGCAGCCAGGTATGTGTGGTGTAATCTTTGACAGTGTGTATGAATGGCAAGGATGAGTAACGTAATCGGTGTGGGAAGCGAATATTATTGAATAGCTTTCTTTCAACATGTTAGATATTATGTATGTTTATGTATGTAACATATATGTTTCATATATCTTTGCTCTTTGATAAATAGCATCATAATGTTGTTTTTGTGGCCCCGTTTCTTCCCAGGCTCATTTCATTTCAAGTGTTATTGTTATTTTATGACTGTAACAGACTTCAAAATATATTTTTCTTTTAGTTTGTATTACACTGTACTGTAGCTAGATAACCAAAGCACAAACTTGTTAAACCTATTTGTGTTTGTGACCTTATATTTGACTTTGACTGTTTGTGGACATTTCTGGCTTCAAAACATTAGTGAGATGAGGGAGTTGGCCTAGGTGTGGGAGGTAAAAAGGTTTGTCCTTGAATGAGGACAAATTAATCATCCCTTTATACTTCAAGGCAAAACAATTTTTGGAACTTGACCTTGATCCCCATAAATGACCATGACCTTTAACTGTTTGTGGTGTTAAAGGCATAGCATGTTGTTTAATGATAAACATGTTGATGATCACTGTATTTCTGTCAGTCCATTTATATTCACTTTATCTTGTTCTCGTAACCTGCTCAATTTACAAACTTAACTGGAAATTTCTGTTTTAAAATTGTTTTTGTGTGTGAAACTCCATATATAGATAATATTGTGCGTAAATAGTTAAGCCTGGTTTATAAAGTATTTTGAAAAAGTATTTTGTAAAGATGACAGTTTACTGACCGTCTAACAATTGATTTGTCAAAAGGGTCATTGCTATTCAGGTCAATTTAACGGACATACATGTAATGTATTATAAAGTTTTTAACTAATATCTGATGTTTTGAAATGATCCTAAGACATTGATTAATTTTAGTTATTTCGGACAGTGAAAATGCTTTCTAAATTTTTTAATAATCCCATGTAGGCAATATGATATTTAAACAAAAAATGAAAAATTACTGGTTCTCAAAAAAATTGACTATTTGAATATTGAGCACTGTAAGTTTGATTTGTTAAAAAAAGTTACCAATACTGATTTAAGGAAAAGGAGATTGGTGAAATTTACTTATAAATTTAACTCAAAGTTTAAGATAGTGACCTTGACTTTTCTGATTGTGAAATTTTTTATCTGAGGTAAATCCCTTGTTGTGGCTGAGGGGTTGCCTTTAAGGGTTGAGTCATTAGAATTTATCCCTGCGTGATTGTAAGAGGCGACTATTAGGTTCGCATTACTGATGTTTATGCATCTCTTCATGTAGCTCCCGCAGGTGTGGTGGTTTTACCGCTGGTGTTGCTTTAACAATGTAACACCCGAGGTTAGCCAAAATCAACTTTCTCGTTTTGGCGCCATATGACCTAAATTGTGTTGGTGCACTGTAAAACCAATAAAAAAACAACAACCCCTCCCCCCAGTTTTTAAAGCCATTTTAAACATATGAACTGTAAAAAAGACCCCAACAAATTATGGATAATGTCCCCCCCAAAAAAACAACAGGAATGCTGGGTCACTGAGGATAATTTCAAAGCTGCATAATATGTGCACATTTCAGATAAACAGCTTGAAACCAGTTAAGTGTAAATATATAAGTGTCAGTTGAAACATTTAATGTTAAATTATGGCAAAGAATGTAAATATTTGAGGGGCTGATAAATTGTAGATAAATGAGCAGTTTTTTGATGGCTTAATTGACACTCTTGCTCACTTTGATCATTGTTCAAACAGATAACTACAGATACCAGTAATTACACTAGATATTCACTAGATTGTTTCTCCAGCTTTATTACAGTATATTTGTAATGTGATCACATTTATAGGTATGACTGTATCACCTCAATACTTAACATACTCTATATTCCTTAGCCGGTATATTAAGCTAA